CTGATATAAAGTCAACAATAGCATGAAGATTTCAGAAAACTATGGCCATGTCTACCTGGGATTTGTGAAGGTGATGGGGACCCAAAGTCCTGTCCTTCTGAGGCATTTTTCCAAGAACAAAGTTTATTGGCATACCAGCTTTATAAACCTCTCAGAGCCGGGCGTTGGTGACGCAAGCCTTTAATCCCAGCACTTGGGAGGCAGAGACAGGTGGATCTCTGTGAGTTCGAGACCAGCCTCGTCTACAGAGTGAGTTCCAGGACAGTCTCCAAAACAATACAGAGAAACCCTGTCTCGAAAAACCAAAAAAAATAAAAAATAAAAAAATAAACCTCTCAGAAGAAAACTAATTAGCTTACACACATCTTCTTCTTATCATGTCTCTTTAATCTTCAAAAATCTCCCCTATCTCACAAGCCTTCCAGTTTATATACCCACGCGGACACAATTAGCAATTCTCTGGCAATAGCAAGGTTACAGGCAAGTGTTTCTCAGTGTCATTAAAGCAGATAAGGGTTCACAGAACAGTAACATGTCAGCTCAGAGGGGGAATGACTTGTGGGATGTGAGGTGCCAGGGCATTTCTTAAGAACTGAAAAGGGTCAGTAGAGGAAGGGGCTATGATTTCTAAGAGGCGAGAAGGAGAGTTTGTATGTTAAACTTCATTGTGTGGCTAGTTAAGCTAGAAGTTTGTAACTGTGCATGTTAGTGCCCACATCACATAGTGAAAAAATAAAGAATTAAGAGTCATGTAGATCTTTTCAAGTGAATAAATTACTTCTAGGATTCTGTTATACCTCATTTAGAAAACCAATTGCAGGAACTACAGAAAACAACACTCTAAGAAAATATGAGAGACAAAAGGGAAGGCGGGAGGGAGGGAGAGGGAAAGGGGAGAGGGAGAGGGAGAGGGAGAGGGGAGAGGGAAGACAGAGAGGGAGAACTTGGACTCACAAAATGTCCATTTCTACTGCATTGGAGTTCAGTTAACCAAGACAATGCATTATTGTATAACTACTTTTAGTTTTCTGAACATAGACTCTTTCATATTCAATGTTCCCATAGTGAGAAAATGAGCTCCCTTGTCCCCCCCCCCATTCAGTCAGCCTCTTGTGGCTTGAGGAGTCCTTGTGATGCAGACAGCAGAAGTTTTGGCTGTAGGAAACACAGTGTTTGTTACTCAAGTTGAGGGGGAAATAGAATTCTTTAAAGGACAACAGAGGAGCCAGCCCCGCAACCATATGGCTATTGTTCATCCTCTGCAGCAATACCACTCCATCTTCTGGTTCATTCTCCCGGATTGCAAAGGGCAAAGAAAACCACACAGTCAGTTTCACTGCTCAGTACTGTGGCCCAAAGGATCAAGGGGATATGGGCATTCAAACAGAAGAATAATTTCATAATGGTTTGCATTCCAAATTGCACAGTCTATGCTTTTCAATTCAATCATTTCTTCTTAAAAACTACTCCCAAAGCAGGCTTTTCACATCTTTATTTGTGTCATAATTGAGTCTGAGGAAGTTTAATATGTTCTTTTAACAGAATCAAGGAAAATAAAAACCTGTAGCCAATAGTTAAATACTATCTTGAATTTTAGACACATTCTGAATACTTTAGTCAATTATCATATCCATCCTTTAAACAAATGTGGGAATGAAAATTCAACTTTTAAAATAAGTAGTTAAGAGTTCAGGAGCTGAAATTTATCAATCACTGAGCATCTATGTTTTCCCCCTGCAGATCTGGGTTGGCCCCTTTGAGAGTTTTCCAGAAACTTTGTTTCCTTCAAGGATTTTCTTCTGGATACAGATTTGAAGTGCTTTAGCTGCTGCTTGTTTGTATTTGAAAATAGTTTAAGTCATGGAGTTTGGGGCCATAGTAAAGATCACCACAAAGAAATCAATAGTACCAGTTTTCTTCTTCAGCAGCAAGGCATCCCCCAGGAAGGTCAGGCACGGTAGTGTGTGTTTCATGTCTGAGCTGGGAGAATGTGGCAGTTTCACAACTAACTGTTCATCTCTGTAGATGGCAATTCCCAACTCAGGAACAAGTATATCTACTTTTGCAACTGAAGTGGAAAAGACTTCTGACCTAATTGTGTGTCTGCTTAGAACTCGTGCTCTTTTGGGTAAGTTCACTTACTCCCAGTGCTGTCTGTATTTACAAGGCTATCAACTTGTAAACTTGGTAGGAGGCAAAGCTGTCAAGTACACCATAAAGCAATTTTATGTATTTTAAGAAAGTTGAAATGAACATGAAAGCTTTTGAGAACACATACATTTGTAATCTGACTTCATGTTTTTCTGAAGTGTCCACTGCTAGATCAAACAACAAAACTATTTGCTGTTACACAAAGGGAAACGGTGTTATTAATTTTTGCAAAGGCACAGTTAAGCAACTGTCTTACATAGACACAATATGCACGTCTCTCTAGAATGCAAAACTGCAGGAGTAAATACACTTCTCCACCATAAGGCTTAATATAACCTGAAAAGTGAAGTTATGGAAAACAGTTCCTGTTCTTCCCCAGACCACTTCCCTGGCAGGTTGATTTAAGGCTCAGCCTCGAACACTCATGGTCACAGGCCCGGACGGTGAAAACTTTCCAGTTTACACTAAACTTACACTAAGCTTCAATTGGACCAAGCCATCCTGAAAATAAGCATCCTTCAAGAAGATTATAAAATTTAATAGGGACCTGTGGAATGACTATGCTATTTAAAAATATTTCTGTGAAATTTACTGAATTTTAAACAACTTAGTTACAGTTTGGTTTTGCAGAGATAACTATCTTAGAAATTCTGGTAGTGGATTTATCAGTCTACCATTTGTACAAAACACTGGTTTTGATTTGGTTATTTTGTTCAAAAAATGTTTTATTAACAACTTACACAGAACATTTAATTGTGCATTTCCACATTAATTTGGAGGCTTTTTTGAAGAGCTGCATCCCATGCAGTTACTAATGCTGCCATTTTCAATGAATACTTTTATATATAGCAGATATGTTTTTAAAGTATTATTTCAGTTATCTTTCTTGTGTACATTTAATTTCAGCTCTCTGGAAGCTTGTTGAATGAAGAATGGTATGTAGGTAAGTACTCCAAGTGAAAGTGAAAGACCTGATGATAAATGAATTCTTTACCATTTAGTATTAAGCAAAGTCCGTGCACAGATACTAAAGGACAAGTGAGGAGCCTGAACCGAGTCACAAGCTGCTGCTTACACCTGCCAACACTCACTTCCTTGACTGAAAGGGCCACCTCTCCCTAGGTCACATCCATCCCAATGAAAGCCCAGACTCTCCAACTAAAATACTCCTCTCAGCTGACTAGCTGAACAGTGATGGAGTTTCCGACTGGCAACTGCCTGTATAATAACAGGTTGAGTTCTTAAAACCAACACCACTTGCAATGCTTGACACGTGTTCCATTAAAACAGTCTTGAGACCATTAAGTATGTGTGCAATCCCTTTAGTCCTAAACTAATAATGACTAACAAAGTGATGAAAGTGGCAATGCAAACAAATGATTGTATAACAGATACATTTGAGTTTTCAATTCATAAGCCATTTATGTGGAGCTATGTGTGTGCTGGCTTCTTTTATGCTACTGATGCTACTCTTACAATGTATAGGGATACTTTTATGCTTAAGAGTAAACTTTTCCTGTTCTACTACACATGGAGTTCCATCAGCAGCAAAAATATGGGTGCAAATGCATTCGTTTGGGGTGTAAAATCTCCAGGCTTATAGCTATAACCAAGCAGAGCCCAAAATTTGCAGAGGAAAGATTTGCAAACATTTCTATGCATATTGTCTATTGACTAGTTTTCTGAAAAGCTATAGTATATCCCCATCAAATTGTGCTGGAAATAACATTTCTAGAATTTAACAGCTAACCCTTTTTTGATGTAAGATTTTTTTTCATCTGAAGCATATATTAAACCATGGGAACAAGCACTGCCTGACTCAGATGGCTCTGGGCCCAGGTGTGCATGCTCCCCTTCTCTTCAGCATTTCCTGGTGTGCTACCTCACTCAGCATGAGCAGCTGATGCTCTGCCAGCTGTTATCTACTGGCTCCCCTATCCCCCCGACCCTGTGTGATGCTTCTGCTGTTAACCACCATTTGTACACAATCGGAAACAGTCTACATAACAAGCTCCATGTCATTTCTTCACTGCCTGACTGGCACCTATTTTGAAGTCAAGGACCTGTCAGTTGCCTTCTGTATACCCTTCAGCTTCTAGACATTCAGAAACCACACAAATAAAACAGCAAACAACAACAACAATAACAACAGTCGCCTGACAAGCCACATGAGGTAATCCTCGATTTATCCTGTCTGGTCATTAGGGTTCATAATACTTTGTATCTATTATGTACAAATGTACCACACCACCAACCTGAAATATTCCACATGGGTCAAAGCTATACAATATAACAGGGAACCAGTATTTAGCACACCACTGAGGGGTGGAGGTGAATTATGTATTTCCATTTCTTTCCAGGGATGAATTCGCAAAACGATTAGGAGTGGTCTTCTTCCTTCTCATTTAGGGTGGGACAGGGATGCTACTTTAAAACTGTTTAGGCAGATGTTTATGGAGAACTGAAGGGACCACCCGCACAGCTCATCACAGAGATGAAAGAACTGTATGCATTATCTGAGCAAATGCCTCATTGCGTGTAGTTTTACTTGAAAAGGTACTAAAACCTCACTAACGACTGTCATTTTCTAATATTATTTGGGGCAAGGCTGTTATATGACCACAGAGAATCAGCCACACAATCTTTTCTTAAGTGCATAATAATCCTTTACCTCTACACAGTCCTGAATTTTATCTAGTGTACAATGTCCAGTTCATTTCTCTACACAGATGTGCACATTACAGTGACTTTTCCCAGGAACATTTGTGCTGTCTTCATACGAACAATTTCCTTTCCTTTACGATAAGTATTAAAGTAAAGGATAGAAATAAAAGGGAAGAAACCATAAATCAAAAGCAGTATTTTTATAAATTAAATGTGACGACGTGTCAAATTAAGGGACATTTATGTACATCTTTATGGTGACTTTTTCCATTACACGAACAGCTCAAGTACTTTTACAAAAACATTAAGTGATAATTTCACTTGAGAATAGTTGGAACAATGTGTATGTGCACACACATATACACACAGGTGCTAAGTTTACAAATGTGTCAGTTATCTGGCTGCCATTACTGAATTAAGAATAGTAATTACTGAGTCACCCCAGACTTCAATTATATTTATACATAAATTGTGCATTTATAAAAACCTTACAAATAATTCTATTTTTCAGGAAGACATTGTAGGTAACAATTTAACACATGTAGTAAGAAAACATTTTAAATTCTTAAAATCACAAACAATTCAATAATCTTATGGATACCACGAATCAAGAATTCTATGCATAAAGATTTCTCCATTTTATGTGTGTCACAATAACATGTCCTTCAGATTATTTGTCCTAACATAGAGTTTATACATTAATCGTTGTAATGCATGGAAAGTAAACATTTTTGAAATCTTCTCTGATCTAAGACTATGTCAGGAAAATCTCTATTGCAAAAATTTAGAATTCTACTCAAATCATGAGAGACGGACAGATTATCTGAGTTGTTGTTTTCAAACAAATAAACGATTGATTACATTTTACTGACAATTTTATGAAGACATGTTAGAAACTTAGTTTACAGCATATTGTGTACAGTTTGAGAAGCCTGAAAAGGATCTTGCCCTGGCATGATGCACTGAGGTCACTTGCCACAAAGGAGAAAGTGAAATGCATTAACTGGGAACAAATACTTCTATCATTTCCCAAGAAATATTAATACTTACCTTGGTCATAGTAACAGTCTACCTTGTTTTAGAAATGAAAAGCTAAGTATTTTAGAAGCCGATGATAAGGTTCCAATGACTGGGATAATGAAAATGAATCAAAGATTTGTCTTAATAATACCCAGTAAATGCATACATGAAAACACCTAGTCCCACGTTAAATGCTATAACATTTGCATATAGTAGTGTATTTCACTGTTAAAACATAGACAGCAAAAATATTCACATTTAAAGTTAAACTCTGTACAGAAATTCTTTTCTTTAGGAAAACAAATTATGTGAGGAAATTTCCTTGGGAGATTCACTCAGCCCAATATTTCTCTTCATAACAGAGGAGTCATTAAAGAGATCTCAGGTTTTATCAGTAGGTCAACCAAATTGAATTGTGGTCCATGGGTAAAGTTAACACGTTAGTTGATGTCAATTCAATTTCTCATACACAAATGTGTATATCAGGAAGCTACAATTGCTGCATGATTTCTGACAAGATCAGTACAAAAATCCAATGTTGAGAAGCTAAGTCTGGGCCTAAGAGACACCCCTGCTTATATATAGTTCTATATGAAGTATAGTGTTGTGTTACTCTCTCTCCATCCCAAGTAACTTGTGGCAGATATTTTACCACTGAAATGAAAAATTGCCAAGAGAAAGAACAATTTCCTATGTGTTAATAGTGCTGTAAAATAACATGAGTCATAGTAGGAGGATGCTGCCATCCTCTCCACATGGACACAGGCACACACACATGTAGCATGCAAAACTGGAGTGGCATTAATACTTCTTAACCACCCTTGCTTTTCTCTCAAGGCATCTTCCTCAGACTGGGGGAGACTGTTACAAACGTTTAAAATTGGAACCATTGTTTTAAGTAAACACTGTTTTAAGCTTGTGCTTCTCAGATCAGAGAAATGTAGTCCACCAGGAAGGAAAAATACAAAAAAAAAAAAAAAAGACTAACCCATGTTTGATGTGAAAACGGCCTCCTCACATTAGTCTTCCCCCTGACCATGTATTCATGGGCTGCCTGCCTCAGCTAATGTTTCAAGGAAAGAGAGCTACAGCACACAAAACAGGATAACATTCAGGCCCAGTAGCTGTGACCTGCTATGATGAACAGTATCAACAAGGCAATGAAAGTTGAAATCATTTTCCTGGGGAGAATGACCACCGGTACTAAGTATTGAGTTGATGGAAAAGATGAGGGGTTGAGAGGGAAAGATGTTCAACCCTGTATGTCACCTCCATGGAGAATTCAGGCAAGAAGTCAACCGGGCTTTAGAGTAGGGAGGACAGGGCAAAACTCTGTTGCTGAGGGAACAGTCCCGGACAGGAAGAGTAGCAGACTGGCGGCTCACTGAAAACCGAATGGCCACTTAACTGAATGGCCCTTTCAGACACAATGGGGTCCAGATACCTTTCACAACCATAAACATAGAGCTGGAAGAGCTTTATTTACTTTCTGTAGGGACAGGTGTGTCTGAGAACTCACCATGGCTGAGGGAGAACAGAACTGATGTGTTAGTCTTTTGGCAATCGAGAAATCTTAATCTCAAGAGTTTTAGCCATAAGATTCCTGTTCACTAGCAACTGAACTCAAATTGTGACATTTTCTAAGGATGCTAAGTTGCCCATCAAATCTGTGGTAATATGACAAGTGTACCCCAAAGCTGTTCACACCGGGCATCTTCACTCTATGAGAGTCACCTGGGTAAGAACCATCCGCATCTTAGTGTGATGTGTGTTTTCAACTAAAGTGAGTTAGGCAGGAGACAGCAGAGTAACAAGAATTAATGCTTATACCTACTATTTATTCTCATGTCATGTTAATGTAGGCAAACATTGCTGATTTCATTATTATGGGGTGAAATGTGCAAAAATGAGCCATGGCAGCCAGCATATGTAGCAAGACAGGACAAACGTGGAGAGTGGTGGGATGTATAAGAAAAGGTTTGAGTTTCTTACCAGAAAAACAATAAGGATGAGTAATTAAAACCTAAACAAATCAATATACTGATACTGCTCACCCTTCAGGGAACAAAATTATTTGGCTATAAAATTAATTATTCTTGTGTTTTCCTGTTTGTGAACGTGGTTTGTCCTAAAATATTTTTAAGGTTTTTCAGGAATTTATAAATTGGAAGTAAGTATTTTTGATTTGGTCCAAGAAAGATGATAAATTGAAAACAAACACAAAAGAAAAAACAGACCCATTTTACCCCCTCCCTGCTTTTTTGACCATAACAGGTTAAAAGTGACATATGATCCCATTTATATTCCAGAACTATCCTCAAGTAAGGGCAAGTAAAATTAGGTTCATGGTTTTTGTTTGTTGTGATAAGAAATAATGCTTTCCTTCTCCGAAGGCAAATGAAATGGCGAACAGTGGTGACCGAGGGAGGAGTCAGCAAATGAATGGTGAACAGTGGTGACCGAGGGCGGAGGCAACAAAAGCATTGAGATTCCACCCTTATAAAGCTGAGCTTACTGAAAAGAGTTGATTTTGCACAATTGTCACAGGAAGTGAAAACTGCCACTATTCCTGGTGATTCAGGTATGGAGTGTCAATTTCAGGTTACCTCAGCTGGAGGGTGAAGCCTGTGTGAGCTGTTTGTGACAAGTCTCTGGAGCCGGCAGGTACAAGGCAGCTGTCTGGTGTAGTTGTGGGCTCCTATGCTGTGCTATGGACTATGACACACATATTGTCATCTAGACTGGAAATACAAAGCTAATTCATCTGCTTTATCCTCTATGCTTCTGCCAGCATCCCTGGCATGCACAGCCAAAATTTCCAGTTTTCAGAAAGAATAAGTCAGTCACCTGGAACTGAGAGCTGGCAAACACAGCATCAACATTTTCACTCATGTTACAACCCCAGAGGAAAGGAGCCGTTTCTCTCCAGGCTGGACAGTGCCTTCTCCCAGCAGGGTAGTTTTAGTGGTGGGTGAGCAGTAAGTATTTGTATCACAAGTAACAGAAAGGCTATCTTGAGTAACAGATAAACTCTCCAAAAATTTCCTGTTAGTTTTTTGGAGTTTGGATACAGGATTAAACTTAAAGATCTGCAAAGTGTCATGCAGCAAGGTGCTTTGGTAATGGAGATAATTAAGAACTATGTCTTTCCTCCCTTCCAAACTGCCAGACACACAATGGAGATCCAGCCACTGGTAGTCAAGAGAAGTTACACTGATAATCTGCCTCTGAATTCAAGCCCTCTGACCCCAGACCAGAGCAGACAGGGCAGAAGTCTCTACCAATGCTTCTTCTTTTCTCTCTGGTGCTGAAAGTCTGAATCATGTCAGTGTGTCTGCATGTCTGTGTATCGTCTGTTATCAAGTCTCTGTGGAAATGTCTAAAGGGAATCCGGATAAAAACACAATGTTATTTCACATCATATGTTATGAAAAATTTACCTCCGGATCCCCGTGTGAAGCCACAAATTCAAACGAGTGGTTTTGTCATCACTTTGGAGGTTTTGTCATGTTAAAGAGAAAATGTGGTGCTAAAAGTGTGACAACCTGTGTCACTTTATTGCTGCGGTCTAGGTCATTTGAATTAGCTGCTGACTTCTGTATCGTCTAAGACAAACAAATCGAGAAAGGACTCAACTTAAAGCAGTCACTGCAGAAATAGAGTGTGTGAGGTCCCAGTCGAACTTCTGCTGACACGTTTTCCTTACGTACAAGGTACTAGACTACTTTGCACAGACAGTGACTGAGGAAATGTCTGGTGGGGCATAAGAATGAAGACAGATTCTCTCCACTTACTGAGCTCTGGGGCTCATGGGTAACTTGTATCAGACACAGTGAATGAAAGCTCTCAAATAAGCGATTTTATTCCTATCCATGATTGCAGACATTTACAAAACCATAACATCTGAGTTCACCTTAAAAAATAACTTATATAAAGCAGTGATATACACAGCACAAAATAGTTCAGGGAGGGGCTGGAGCAACCTTTAATAATTAAAATGTAAACGTGAAAAAAAGGATGGAATAAAAGTCCCTACTTACTTCTACTTAAGATGTCATGTGATAATATCTTACAATGTCCTGTGGGTCAATGCATGTATGCGTATATGTGCATATAGATCTGCATATACGATACATTCTCTTTCCCACACATATACATACACAGATGATTATTTGCAGTTCAGTTTAGGGCAATTCTAATGTGCCACTCCGCACAGTTGTTTGAATCACATTTGGGCCTGCTTTCTTCACAAAATAGCGGAGAGAGCAGGAGCTAAAGGGTTGGTTTGGTTGGCTGAGATTCCTTCAACTGTACACTGATGAGCAGTTTTCTTCTGTAGTAGTTCTGTGAAGGGCCGACTCACGATGGTTTTCATGACGAGACTTGGTAATGGATCACACACTCATGGTCATGCTGGGGGAGTACTAGAAGGACAGAAGAATCCATTGGTTAACAGTGATCCTGTCACAGGTCAGTGTGGTTCAACTTGGGACAGAAGGATAAATGATGAATTTTAGTTTCTATGAACACTTACTGGGCACATCTTTAATCTCAGGAACATAAGGAACTATTTATATGGCTTTTCTTAGTTGTAAAATTTTAAACTATTTCCTCTACCAAGTCTGATTCTTTTCCAGGACTTAAGTAATCATCCAGTCCTTCAGCCACTCTGTCCAGCCAGATGAGGGCTTTGTAGACACTTGTAACAATCTGGGCAGCTTTAGTCCAAGGATGGTCACACGGAAGCGAGTTTGAGGATTAGCCTTTGCTATATATAGCCAAGTGAGTGGGACTTGTCTGTAGTCTGCCCTGTCTTCTCACTTCTCTAAGAGCCTTTCTGACGGTACCCGGGAGTCTGGGGAGGACTAACACAATCCTTAAGCTCCAGACTTGATTAGACACACAGAAAGTACTCAGTTCATGAACAGTGCCCGGGAACACAGCAACTGCTGCTCTGCAGTCTCACGGGAACACCTGATGCTCCAGTGTGCATTAGCATAGAGTCCCACCCCCAATCAATCCACTGCATGAAACAACAGGAACTCAGCTTTACGGTATGACAAGGCTGACAAGTGACACAGGGTAAGGCTTCTGGAAATTCAGAACATTACTTGATTTCAATTTACTTAGATGTGAATCACTACACGCAGCTAGAGGCCGCCATCATGATGGGCAGCTCTGGATCTTCTGAGTGGAGACAAGCACTTTTGGCAAATAGTAGGGGTCTACATATGAAAATGTTTCAAAACTAAAATAAAAATATAGACCTTGGAATATTTTAATGTTTGATGGAAAACTTGCAAAAACTAGTTCAAAGGGTGATTTCTTTCAATGTTCTACTAATGATTGTGTCTCAGGATGAGAGATGGGTAAAGTTCAAAGGATGGACTCTACCAAAGGACAGGTTCCGCACTGCAGAATCCAACAAGGAACAGTAGCTGAAGTAGCTAGGTGGGCAGTGGGATGAGCCTCTTACAAAGATGGTAGAATAGGCACAAAGTGGACGGAATCTCAAGCTGGCTTGGGAGAGCTGCAGGCACGAGTTGAGGCTCATTGGAAATGAAATGAGAAGAGGTCCCATGTGAGTGAGCGTATGTGTGACAGGGGCTCTGTTCTCTGAGCCACAAATTATTAGGGTGCAAATCCCAAATGCAATGTTCTGAGTAAATGTAGAGAATGAGGTAGAGGATGAGGCTGGCAAAAGAGTGGTTGGACCAGGGGGAAGGGCTGTTAATTCTTTGAACATTGGTCACATCAAGCAAAATCTATTTGTCACTGAATAGCTTTGAGTTCTGTATTGGTACAAGGAGGGTAAGTTACTAAATAGTTTAACGGACTTCTGCTGAGTAATCAGAAAAAAGGGAGAAAGGAAATGATGTAATTGTCTTATAATCTCAAAGACTAAAAAAATAATTAAAAACCCATCCTAACTCAGAAAAAAAGAAGGCAAGATGAAAATACAAGTCAAAAGCAAATCAACGCCCATCTGCCATCACACACAAGGAATGCTTGGAACCACTGTGTGCTGGAAGGGAAACATACCAATTCCATGGCAATGTGACGCTATAAAGTTCCACATCACCAGTAACTCCAGCATGCTGCAATTTACCCACAGCCTATGACTAAGTATAGTCACATAATGTATTATAACTATATATAGTTACATAAAAACTATAGAGTATAGTTATATTCAGAGACAAGGACAGGCAATAAAAAAAGACAAAGATGCATCTCTACAGAAAAATGGCCACAGATAAACTTAACCCATGCTTTGCGTGGTCCTTGGAGCTGCCGTAAGAATTGGGAATGTCTTTAGTTGGTTCAATGGAACCTGTGATGAAGGAACATTCTAATCCATCCTAGTGAGTACAGTAGGTTCCACATACATGTGGCTTCTAAGTTCTTGAAATGTAGCTACTGAAAATTCAGAAGTGAAAATGTTCACATTTAACTTTAATCAAACATTTAAATGGCCAGATAAGGGCTTTTCTGAGAGTTGCTGTGTCAGAGACCTAAAGCAGCAGGTAGGTGACCTAAAGCAAGGCAGGATGGTTTCCTGCAGAGTGTCACAGGAAACCTTGCCACTGAATGGACAGCCCAGGCAATCTGGATTTTTTAAGACGTTCTAGAATCCTTTCTTACTAAGTATCAGCCCAGCTCATTCATATGTCACATAATATTACTTTTCATTCTAGTATACACTGTCCAGTGATGTACAAGTGCACGCACTCTGTTGTCAAGAATTTTATTAACTGCTATCATCCCTTAATACTAGCAGTTGTTAAAAATGTGATAGATCACAGATCTTGAGAAAAATCTTACAGAAAAGAAAAATGTTGTTGCTAATACAACGAGAAATCAGCAGAAGTTGCCTCACCCTAACAGAGACTTAGGGGGAAATCAGGTGCAGAGATACTGGGGTGAGGGTGAGTCAGAAAGCACAGAAGCATCAGCTCCAAGAAACAAAACTCAGAGAGTTTACAGGAATCTAACACAGTGTAATACATTTATCTGAGTAATACACACAACTACAGAATGACACGTCATTATCTCTGGCACAGAATGATAGGATGCATTGGTGCCGGGCATGCCCAGGCCACGTGTCACGTGTTCCTGGAAGGCTGAGGATTGTTCACTGTCAGTTTCTATTACTGAAACTATTTCAAGAAAATGGGACAAAGGTAAATTATAAAATTCTAGGAAAGTGCCCAGGATGCAAGCAAAAAGGACTATTTCCAGGGATCCCATTCTTTGGGATGTGGAAGAGGTGGCTCACATTTGGTTTTCCCAGAAGAACGGAAGAGTGAGGGTTAAGTGGACTGTCATGTTGAATGGCACCCACTATTCCTGGCGTCCCGTGCTGACTCATCTCAGTTGTCACATTCACATAGGATGAGACACTGTGATGTCTACACCACAATGCTGGGATGTCAGATCATACTGTTTGGAACTACTCAGCAAGTCTGCTTCTCCTCAGAGAATAAAATGGCCCTTTAGCTACGGACAGCACTCTTGTTTGACTTAGGGGAAAAAAGTAAGCCAAAAGCTATTATTTTAAACATATGCCTATTTATCTGTTTTTGTAAAGTCTATTTTGAGATAGCATGTCCTAGTTTGGACTCGGGGAGTCTTCTCCTTATCACCTAACGAATAATCCACAGAATCTGTTAGAAGCAGTCATTAAATCGCCCAAAGGACACTTTAGATCACACCTCATTCAAGTCTTGCTTTCTATAAATATTTTGTTTCCTTAATGAGAAACAGGGAATATTTTTGCTCCTATGAATATAACATGAAGTAACTCAATGTGTGTGTTACTACCTAAGAAACTCAGGTTTACAGAGTTTCCCAACTATAGCAGAAGTAGACGATGGAGAGGAGAGTTGGGAAGTCTGTCTACCAGCTTGCCACTGTTAAGTACCATGGTTCTAATAACATACCCAGTCATCTGAGTATAGACAGACGTCATGTGTAAACATTTTTCCAAATTAATGCAACAAATTAATCCAACTGCTTTCTGCTTTGGAAGCATTTTTGTATCTGCACCATCAAAACGAAACATTTACAGTATGCGAACACTAGGGGGCAGCTTGGTTTCTTGAAAGAAGGAGTCCTGTTCTCTTGCTCTGCCCAAGCATGTTTGCAGCACTTGCTCTGTGTATTTATTCAGGCATTTTTGTCTTGATATAATTAAATGAAGTCGTATGTAGGGAAAGTGGGATAATACCTAGCATACAGTAAGCACAAAGTGGGATAATATCTAGTATACTGCAGGCCCTAAGCCATTGTTCCTTCCCTCTGGACTCTTGTTTTATTTTCTTTTCCTAGAGAAAGGTGACGAATGAGTCTTTGAACATATGTTTACTGAGATTTTTGGATTCACTAAATAGTTCTGTATCTTCTTGGCTACAGTACATGTGAAGTTACACCAAGCTTTGCCACTTCCTTGAACCCCATACTCATCAGCAGAGAACCTCTCTCTTCCACTGTCTTTTTAAAAACTATAAACAAAAATGTGTAGTAACATTCACACCCATGCAGCACCAGGCACACTCAGTGGGTTTCAAAACAGAGCACGGGGAGCTGGTCGGGAAGAGTGGGGATGGGGCAAAGCCAGGTGGATCTCTGAGTTTGAGGCCAGCCTGGTCTATAGAACAGATTCCAGGTGGATCTCTGAGTTTGAGGCCAGCCTGGTCTACAGAACAGATTCCAGGTGGATCTCTGAGTTTGAGGCCAGCCTGGTCTACAGAACAGATTCCAGGTGGATCTCTGAGTTTGAGGCAAGCCTGGTCTACATAACAGATTCCAGGCAGAACTATATAGAGAGGCTCTGTCTCAAACAAACAAGCACCAACCACATAAGAACATTCATTTCAACAGATCTTGTATTTAATAAATTGTAAAGAAAATGTACACACCAAAGAACTGTTTTAAAATACATTCCTTTATAATTTATTACCAGCAAGCGCTTGATTTGTAAGTCTTATACGTATATGCCTAGGGTTGCATAAACATTACAGGTTTCAAGTGGAATGTTTAAGAGACCCATCATAACTAGCTTCTGAGGCAAACTTTCCTCAGATCAACAGTTGTTTAGATTCTGAGGAGTGAGGCCACACAGTGTTGACTTTTTGTCTATTATGTCACCGAACTGTCCTCTAGTTTGGCCAGATTTATTGAAATAACAAGACTGTGTATTCTTGAATGGAGTGGTATTCTATTACATATATGCTCTGTTTTAATCCATTCACAGTAGATTTCATTCCTTCACTGTTGTTAGTGTATTAGAGGAATACACTATAATACACCACCATGTATACTACCGCATTAGTCGGACATATGAGCTACTCATGTAAGCATCTGTTAGTGGAATTATACACTTAAGGACAGGCATGCTATACTCCTCACTTTAGAATAATTTGTTTCTTACTCTGAAACTTTGCACACAGCACAATAAATGAACTGCACTGACCTACCATATACCTCATATTATATTGTATTATGGTACTGCTGGAATAATTAAACAAAAGGAAATAAATGTCTCTGATTAGATAAAGTGAACATTGAAAATGACTGATTTGTCCATATTCCTGAGGTAGACCAGTGGCCAAGGTTTTTAAAAAATAATTTCTGTAGTCTCATATGTGAGTAAAACCATGTGGTGTCTCCTGCTTTTTCATGCTTACTCACTGACAGCTATGCTTTCTCACATAATTTATCTATATCCTTTGTCCTCACCAGTCATAGAAATAAAGCAAAGTAGCAGAAAGAAAACCTTCACAGTCTAAACTCAGGGGCAGCTTTGTTTCCAGTGTAGGCTGTAGGTTGAGACCAAGAAGCAAAAGAATCCACAAGCATTCACTTGCAGGCTCCACGTGGGATGCCTGTCAGTCTGCACTAAAGTAGACTGCTGTTAGCCAAGGCTTGACCCGCAGGCGGTGGGAGCTCTGGCCAAGGCTGAATTGGGAAGCATGATAGTAAGAACTGCCTGTGCCCACCCATAGTCTGACAGACCCACTTGTGTGGGGCATGGGTCACAGACTGAACAAGCTCACCTGGGATCTGCGACAGTGTGTTCTGTAATCTAGCTCAGACTCCAGTGGAGAGCAGCCCTAACCATCACTCACTGAGCCTTCTTACCCACACACCCCCAGCTGACTCCCAGAATCCTGGGTCCATTGGGTTTTGAGGGGACTCTGGGAAACTTAAGTGTTTCTATAGTTAAATAACAGTTAAAAACCATTGCATTACATAGTAACTGATAAAGGCACCATCTTGTCTCTAGTCCTTCCAGGGTCTAGCATACTGCCTTGGCACATATAAGTGCATAGGAACTGTTTGCTAAATAAATAAATAAATAAATGAACTGGTTGGCGTCACTTTTTGTCCTGTCCATATCTATGAATAACGTATAACCCTATAATAGCACTTTAAAATGCCATGGGTTTCAAGCTCAGGCTGACAGACCACCAATGTGACCTTCACCTCAGCAAAGCCTAATGTGTGAAGCCACAATACATGTAGATTATTGTCATACTCTTACCACGACAAAAATCAAGAACAGATCTCATGTTGAATCTACTCATTTTGCTAGAAGGGAGGACATGCCAATAAGGCAAGCTGCTTTCTGTTTGACCATGACATGATGTTCTCTATGAGAAAATTAGGATGATGGTTTTGGTAACTGCACATAAATACAAAGGTCTCTCACAGAACCCTTTTATATAAAACTACACTTGAAGATTCTTCAACATATCGAATACTTGCTAAGCATCAATAATAACAACTGTAAGTATTCATACTGAGAGGAGAGCTTAAGACTATCAGAGCATAACAACACAGTCAAGGGAATACTTACACTCTCACTCTGGAAAGGGTTTAAGAAATTTCCCCCCATTTCACCGTCATCCCTTGGGGTGCCCGGCTGGTTACTCAGGCTCATATTATTGGGAGAATTCTGTAAACAAGATTGAGAAAAGAAGTCATTGTCGAAGGGTTCCCTCCTGCACTGCAGTGCTTCAGACACGGAGTACAGTGGCGGTGGCCGCAGTGACAGCACTGTACTTCCAGGACAAAGCAGATACCATGCTAACTGGCATCTCCCTCATCCTCTCCCTCACACACTGCACCAGAACAAATGTTAATGCTTTCGCAAATGAAATTTTGAGGACAAGTAAAACCTCGAATAATCTATGATAACTATTTTCTTACTCCCAGAATCAATGTTTAATCAATTTCTCACCCTCAGTTTATAGTTTCTAGAGTTCTAGAGTTAAAAACAAACAAACAAATAAACAAAACAAAACAAAACAAAGCAACAATAACACAAAACCCTCAACTTTCCGAGCAGGAGGCTGATGAAGACAGCCTGCTATGGATAAGGCATGATAGAGGCTAACTCCCTTAGTAATTTTACCAATCAAATTTTGAAAGGTCACTGCTTAACGGATATTTCCCTTTAATTCTTGGGCACTTTGGAGATAATACTATTTTAATTATTTTTATGTGACTCATAGGAAGAAAGATTGTTACTGAGAGAAATGCCTTGGGACCAGAAAACTCTCTTTCGGATGAGAGAGGGATCAGCATTCCATTGAAGAAGTCCTACCATTAGTTTACAAAGGCAGTTCCTAAGGGCGGTCCTCGGAGACAAAGCAGCTGCTATTAGCAATCAACACGAAGTTAGCAGGGCCTTTTCTTAAACCCTGTTCAAGTTTGTTCATCTTATCTTCACAGTGTATTTTGAACTATGCACGATATCTGGCAGGTCACACCAATAGGAAACACAGACTGGCAGGTAAATCATGTTTATTTTGCCCTGAAATGGTGATTGAAAGATGCATTTCAAGTTACAATTTACTGAGTTTAAAAATTTCGGGAATAAACACTTCGTTATTTTAAGTGGAGAAAAGATTTTTAGATTGGTTTTTGCCCTAAGCCCTAATTTGGAATTTTGTTTTTAAAGAAAATTACTATAGCAGGTTCTATTGCAAACACCAAGAATGAGTTCCTGAAAGGACTTTTGAGACTATGGCTAACCGGTAAAGCAGAGCAGGCAGATGAGCTGGTGTAAATGTAGCTCCTATTTTGTCCCACTGTGCCCCCTGCAGGGAGGATCTGAGAGCAAGGATCCTCTGAAGTTCATAGGAGTTCTATATGCCAAGGGCTCAGAACCACACTTCCACAGCAGAAAAAGAATGCTACCATTTCTCCTAAGTTTTTCCTCCGAAATGCTAGCTACCCAAGAATAAAGAAAGCAACTGCACATAAAGTAATCTGACAACTTCATTCCCTTGAATTTTTTTATTAAATGCATCATCTTGATTCATTAGTTATTAGAGATGCTAATTAAATAATAATTGTGCTTTGGAAACCGGAATGATAACGCCGACTGTGGTGGCATGATTGAGAACAACTCCCATAGGCTCATACATTTTAACACTTGGTCCCCTGTTGGTGGAATGGTTTTTAAAGGATAAGGAGGTGTGACCTTGCAGGAGGAGGAGATGCATCACCAGGGGTAGGCTTCAACCCCACGCCAGCTACTGCTCTAGTGCTATGCCTGCCTGCCTGCTTACCTGCTGCCATGCTCCCACCACAGCACGGCCATGGACTCTACTGCTTTGGAACAATAGGCCCCACATTAGACACATTCTTTTATAAGTTGCTTTGGTCATGGTGACCATCATAGCCATTGAAAAGTAAAATACTGACTTAGTTCAACAAAGAAAACCAAACTTCGTGTGAGGATTTTCACTGTACATTTGGGATAATTTAGATCTGGGCTGTACTTTTTCATATATCATTTTTTATTCTAAAAGTTTAGTTAACTTCAAGCCTGATTCCTGACTCAAAGTGCTGGTTTCTTAAATCAGTTCAGTTAGTCATCAGTTAATTAGTATTTAATTAGTATTTTTGGTGCTGGTATTCCATTTTTCATTCAGTCTCTTCATGGCGTGGTGCCTCAAACTCGTGCTTTTTAAAGGGTTGAGTATATAAGTAAGTTGAAAGGGATTTTAAAAGACTACAACACAAATCAAGGCAGTATTAGATCTTTGAAACACATTTCTTTTAGTCACTGGATATGTTTGAAAATAATTTAAATGGCAAGGAAAGAATATGTTGTTTCATTTCTATCTGAAGTACTCTCTACGAAGGTTGTGAAATGACACAAGTTCTTCAATGTGGTGGATTAAAAAAAAACTGCTGCCAAAAATCACAGTGACAAGATGACAACTCAAGCAAAAGACACCTGACACCTGAGACTATCAAGACAGCAATGAATACAGCTGAAAAATGACTGCAAGGACCTGTGTTATAAAGTCCTTGTCTCTACAGAATTTTATTTATGTGTTTACTATAAAAGGTTATAGTTTATTAATGCAAGTTTTAGGAAGATGATCCTATAGCAATTAAGGCATTCCAAGTTTTATGTTCAGAATCATCTCTAAGAATACATTCCTTAAATATGACCTTAAAGTTTCACTGCTAACTAAGGAGAGTTCAGCTAGCTCTCATCATAGGCAGGTCCGCACATCTGAAAGGGCACCTCTCACAGACAGCTATCAAAAACCACACAGGGCCTTTTGCTCTGAAAACAGATTTTGTGGATAGCATTCTTCATAGAGGTAAGTTAGTACTTGACATAAATAAATATTATTCTAGAATACTTCTCTGTCTCCAAACACCTTAATCCAAATATCCATAGACCTTGTATGGTAACTAGACACTCCAGGTGTAGTCAGAGCTGCAGTTTACAACGTTTTAGGGTCTGAAGTCTTAGTGCAAACTGTTTTATAGTTCAGTTAATTTTACTTTTTTGTGGTGCCAGGAATTTTCTATTATTCTACAAATGTAGATGGAGTTAAAAGCACAGTTGTCCTCTAGTCAATTTCTCTACTTACTGATCTAAAGCAGACTTTGAAGGGAGTAGTTTTAGGGTTAGCTATCGTAGTTCTCATCAAATGTTTTAAATATAGTTAACTTTCAGAGAACTACTTTAATTTCATTATAACCCAGGGAGTATTTAGATGCTATTATTTTAAAATTATGTGAAGCATTTTAGCAAAATATTCATTTGATACCCAAATTATTGAAGGAGAAAAATGCAACATATTTATTTTTCTACATGTATTAATATAATTCCCTTCTAATTACTTTCCTACCATTTTGAGAACTAGAATAATGATTGCACATGCCAACACCATCTAATGAAGGCTGGAAAGACCAAGTGAACATACAAATCCACACAAATGTGATGTTCTTACACCATATATGGCCAACTTCTCAGATGTATATGCTGCCACATTGCTGTGAACACTTTACAAACTCCTACAACTTTTCAAAAGATCATCTAAACAGTCAGGCCAGCTCACTATGCAGCATCAGAACATAATTAAGTTGGTTATCATATTTTGCTTTCTTAAGAATTACATATATTCAGCCAGGCGATGGTGGCGCACACCTTTAATCCCAGCACTCGGGAGGCAGAGGCAAGTGGATCTCTTTAAGTTTGAGACCAGCCTGGTCTACAGAGCGAGTTCCAGGACAGTCTCCAAAGCCACAGAGAAACCCTGTCTCTAAAAACTAAAAAAATTATATATATTCATATTTTATTGCTGAACGATCATATCTGAACTTCTACTTTCAAATTTTTATTGAAGAGTAATATTCATAAAGCTCATTTAGTAACCTTAGAGTTTCATGTGGAATAAAATGGAGACAAAAACAGAATACACATTACTCACCTTGGAAATACTGTCCATATCTCCTGAGCCTGGAGAAAAATGTGAAAACATAACCGTCATTAGGTAAGACAGCATTTATAAACTGAAACTCCTGATGTGAGTGAGCTACCTCTGACAGCATAGAACTCTGCTTCTGCTCCCATCACCCTCATCTTAAAGGCAGGAGTGGTCATGGCTACAGTCCCCTTGGGGATCACTAGGGAGATTATCTACATGTACAGATTTGTTTCTTCTACTTCCCATCATCTGCATTCTAACAGTAGGAACAGAGTTTGAAAGTAGAAGTTTAGTGATTATGTAATGTTCAATACATAAAGTAAGGAGCTAGCTGTCAACCACTGAGAAACTCGTCTGGAAGCTGATTCTAGTGGTGTAACCAAAAGCCTTCTATGACCAACTCCCTCTCTTTTGACTAATTCTCCAACTTGATAGATTGAGAATACTGTTGCAATATATTGAAAAATCAAATTCTATAGCAGTACTGGCAAACTGAACACTGTATAATGATGTGTATATTTCTCAGTGATGTCCACTATGGCGGCAAGTAATGTGTGTGCTTGTTATGTGGCAATGTGCCTGAGGACTTGAATGTTAAATTATCTCTACCTTTAAATAGTTACACATTGCTATTGGCTGAAATCATCAGATACTTCATGTCAACCAAAATACAATAAATCAAAACTTTGAAATGCACAAAAAAGGGTCCTTAAAAAACAGTCTATCAATGCATTGGAGATAATTTTGGAATCACTTAACACAGACTTTCAGAGAATCGAGGGGCATGCTTTTGACCTTGAGAGTATGGAATCCTAGATAGGCTGGACAGTATGAGCACGGTCTGTCCAATGTAAGTGAAAGGCTCCTCTACAAGCCTTGGCGCCCCTGCCAGCCTGCAGATGACCCTATGACCACAAGCACATCGACTCTTATACGTCTATCCACGGGCACAGTGTGCTGAGAGACCCAATAGCTTTTGCTTTACTTTTCTCTCTGTCTCATCATTGTATTTTACTCACCCTACAGACACTTGGTGTCATCTGCTAAGAAAGTGCCATACGTGTAGCACACTGTTAACTACTGCTGTGCTTGAGTTCAGCTTTCTCCTGAATATGTCTCATAAGAGAACTATTAATATTATCAGAGCATGGTTACTAATTTTATTTGAAATAGGGAAAGCATTAAAATACATGACAAAATTAAGGAATCATTACAGAGACCTGGTTTCTCTGATATGTTCACAGAGGGAGGGCAGAGGCGCCCTCTGGGTTAGGCAGCATGGCACACGCTCCTTTGGCCACAAGACACTTATGCTGTCATAGACTGGCATCAATACTCGTGGGACAATCTGAACAGAGCCAACCTCACACCCCTAACTTTCAAATGCTCTCCAGTTTACACCCAGTATGCTATGGATCACATGACCACTCAAGTATTTGTACATGAAGAGCTTTGTAAGCCATAATACCCACTGTATGAACTATTTTTTTATTTATGCCATCCATCTAATGTATAAGTCTTACCTAAAGAGCCATTCATGTGATGGGACTCCATTCCTCCTAATCCACCCATGGGACCATCTGACCCAGGGCCCATTGGAAACTGTTTTAAAAAATGAAGAAAGTGATTGTGATAATATGGGAAATGATTTTTATTTCACATTACTTATTAACATTAGAGACTGCCCTAGTTTATTTCCAGGAGTAGAGACTTCTCAGGATACGTCTCAAGGTTGTAGACTCTTTAACTGTCTGTCCCAACTCTCTCATCTCATGGTCTGAATGCTCAGGCTAATCCCACTTCCTGTCTATTTTCTTTCCTCCTCCACATGTGCTCAACTTGAAAGCATGGACATTCCATGTAAATGTGAAGATTACCATTCTCCCCTTGATGGTGGCAAATTTCCTCTTATATGCTCAAGGTAGTTCTTAAGAAGCTGCTGATGCTATTGGCTCATTAGAAGGCTATTTCTGTTGAATCATGATATCCATAGCAATACTTTCTTAGTGCGCGATACATCACTGTTTTAGTGGGTACAGGGAATGATTTCATCTTGCAGGTTAAACACATTTAGCTACTTAGGGACAGCTGAACAGTGTTAACTTTTCTTAGTTACCTGGGCTATGTCAGCGTAAAGCAGACATTCCGCAGCAGCTCTACTCACACATTTAAAGCATCAGGATTGGTTCTTTCAAGTAAAATCTTAGCAGTAGCTGTCAACAGACATACTGGGGTAGAGCTGTGATGGCAAGTTCAAGGTCAGTGCCCTTCCACCTCCTCTAGAATGCTTCTGTGCCCTATCTGAAGGCAGGCATCATCATCTTAAGTTTGGAGGTAAGTACCTATCGAAGTCAGGTGTGTGTGTAAGTGTGCGTGTGTGTAATGAAATAAAACTTGCAATGCACTCACACAACAGGAAAGTAGAGAGGACTTCATGGAACCTTCTTACTCAGCTTTTAACAAGGGCACAGTTTAGCTGGGTCGGGAAGTTGGACCTCTGTAAGCCCTAGCAAGAACCTGTGAGCATGCTGTGCTCTGCTCTTTTCCTGCCTCTGCAACTTTAAAGGGTGCGTAAGGTTTTAGAAGACTCTGAGACTATAGGCATGTAGGTTTTAATTAGCTTAATGCACAGTAAAGGTATTTTCTGACTTTTTTTCAATTTTAGCTACCCTATGTACTTATGTATAAGCATAACATATTTATTTTTACTTGGAATATTACTATATTATAATCCAAATTTAAAACTCATATTTACATTAGGTCTGTTAGGCCCAGGAGGTACTGCATTCATTAAAGTATACATGTTGTCTCCAGAATTGGTTGAATCTGAAACAAAACATCATTTCATTAATATCTCTACCAAAGTCATCACATGATCCTGGCAGACATAGCAATTGACATAGCTAGATGGCTGATGTAGTCATTCTAGTGTCTGGAATCAATACCTGGCAGTCCTTTTCTGACCCAAACTGTACTGTTCTAAGGTCATAAATTAGGAACATAATGAGATGAATAAATGCATCAGTAATTCAGGTCAATTGAACCTTAAAAAAACCCAATAAAATTATAGTATACTTATTTCATAAAACATGGATTACTTTTTACTTCATAAGCAATGATGTGTATATATACATCAGACAATTATAAAAGTTCAAATTCAGTAGCTTTTCAATTTTTAGAATTTTCTTAGAATTCCTACAAAAAAAAACCACCCTGAATTTCAGGATGAAACTGGTAGAATCTACTGACTTAATTTCAAACGTGAGATTGCAACAGGGCTAGAAAAAGAATCCATCTTTCTTGAAGAAAGAGCCAGATGCCTCTATCCATCTTTTCCTTTCCAGAGATGGTCCTGTCTTATGATGGCAGCTGGCCTGGAACTCACATGGTAGCCCAGGCTGGCCTTGAATTTCCAGCAATCCTCCTGTCTCAGTTTCCCCAGTACTCATTCACCACCAATGGCTTTCAGCAACTTTTTGATAACTTTCTTCAGTAATTTTATTAAAATAATTGGAGCGTATTATCTATAAATATATTTAAGATTTTACACTATTCTATAACATATACTTCACGGCTCCTAGCTAATTCTAAATCTCCACATATATTTTTATGAAGTAAAATCCAGAGTGAAAGCTAATTATTTTACGTTGAGGAAATATTAGTGATGAAATACAGTTTTCTATTTTCTTACAATTGAAAAGTTTACTTGGATGTATCACAATAGATCTTTATTTTAAAATGATGAAGTGTTTGGGGAAATAACATACTTTCTCATGGTAGTGACCACAGAGAGAGATATGACTACTTCTGCCACGGTGTGACTACTTACTAAACATTTAGCCTGTGATTTTAGTGTATATTATTTATTGGTCACTTATCAACAGTGATAATGAATGTCAGTACTAGATTTTACCTTTTTTTTTGAGACAAGGTTTCACTATATATCCCTGACTGTACTGGAACTCACTCTGTACACGAGGCTGGCCTTGAACTCAGAGATCCACCTGCCTTTGCCTCCTGAGTGTTGGGATTAAAGGTGTGCACTTCTATGACCGACCAGATACTACTAGATTAATTCTAAAAGAATAAATACCTCATAGTATTGAATGACCCAGAATGCATCCCCGCAGGCTGACCTCTGTTTTTGAATTCTAAGTGAGATCCCAACCTATTTTTGTGGCTATAACTTTTTCATGTCCTCATCTACGAAGCATTTCTGTCATGTAAGGCTACTTACTCCTTCCTGCCTATCGCCAGCCTTGCCCATCTTCACATTTTCATTCCTTCTCCTGCCTAGCATCTTCTCACCAGCCCCACCGACTGGAGTTCTGGTCATGATCCAAGGCGCATTTCAAATGGTGTTTCTAGCGTGAGTTTTCCCTGAGGTCTCTGAGTGCATGGTGCTCCCACAAATGCAGTGAGTCTTGTATCTGCCTTTTCACGCACACCTAGCTATCAAGAGTTCATCAGAAGGAATGGGGCTATATTTTACTTAGCTTGTGTGCCTCAGACAACAAATTAGATTTATTGCTTTAATTTGTCTAGAAAGTTCTATCATTTCAGAAAAATTTGGATTTGATTTTAAATATATGAAAAACTTTAAATGGGTTTATCTTTACTTTTGGTGAAAGAAAAATGGATTACATATTTTAAATATGCAAGAGATGAACTTATCATTTTTAAAACTAATTGAAAATATAATTTCATCCAAAGAAGAAAATACCATCAAGAGGTATAGGGATTATTTTCTAGGAAATGAATGCCTCCTTAGGATTCCTGGAAGAGCTTACACTAAGTGCATCTATGGGCATGTGTCTTTGGGGCTGAGGACCCTGGCTCACTGTAAAGGACTTTAAGACAGTATGCAAACAAGGCCAGCAAGACAGACTGAAGAGGTGGTTAGGTTACTTTTCCCTGCTATGCTTAGTGTTGCTTGAAGCTGGCCTCTAGTCTACAGTGAAAGGAGCACAAATCACATGACATCTTCCAAACTACACATTAACTTCACAGAACGAGAATGAATTGCAGCGAGGCAATCAGTTCATATAATTCATCTTTGATAGATACTGCTTCATTTGGAAGATAGAGATGATGACATTTTTATGGATAGAAAGAAAACAGTAAAATTAAGGTAACATTTTATAATACCAAATTTGGTTTTAAATAAAATGTACAAAACAAAGAATTATTTACTGGAAATATTAATAATGATGACTTTTAAACTTCTGTATATATTAGAACTAAATTTAAATATTTAACATTTGACTTCGCAGTGAACCATACTAAAATTATTTTTAATTATAACCTTTCTCATCTATTTTACTACCAAGAAGCACTGAAAGCCTTAGCTTACTTCTCTGATACATACACAGGTATAAATATGCACATAGATGCACACATATCTATGTTTGTGTGGGTCAGGAGAGGTGACTCAACTAGTTGTTACAAGCACATTCCACTCTTGCAAAGAACCTGAGTTCAGTTCCCAACACAAACATCAAGAGGCTCAGAATCATCTGTAACTCCCTGGTAACATCTGTAACTAGGGGAGTTGAGGCTGCCCTGTGGTCTCCATGGACACCTGCACTCCTGTGCTCATGCCCGCACACAGACATTAGCAAGTGCACATAATTAAAATAAGTCATTAAAAGTGGAGAAAACTGTGATAATAATTGTACTGACTAATAAGCATTTGTTTTTCTCACCATTATAATTTTTTATGATTACTTCAGTGAAATTTTAATTATAGCCTATCATATGCCTTAAAGTTAATAATCTCACTACTATTGGGTTAGGAATACAGATTAGTTTAACTACTGAGAACATTGAATGAGTACCCTTGTATAGAATCTTGGATTGTATCTCCAATCATTTATAGTATTAGGATTACAGACTCAACTTTTAAGAACTATCTGATAGCCTTGATACATGTTGCTGGATCTTTGACAATTTAAATTCCAATCACTAGTTTCCAAACATGCTTAATACTCTGTACTACAGTAGTATCAAGAGGAAAAAAGGCTAACGTTATGTGAAGTAATTATGTTAAATTATTATGGATATATGAAGTGTATCTTATTTTAGAAGATTAAAACATCTTTCAGCACTATTTAGTGAATTTATTAAGTAATAAATCCCTACAGACATGTAGGGTAAACAGTAAGATGATAGATATGTGGGTAGGGATCAGTTTGCTATTCTAACCTTATGGTCTATGTTGTTAGAGTTTTACTCCTGTAGACTTTTCTGTGATTCTTTTCAATTTTAAGGTATTTTTAGGTAAGTTAAGGTACTTGCAATTCATATAAATCAGCACATTGCTCATACTTACTAAATCCATAATCCACACAAGAGGAATTTTCTAAATTCTTAACTGGACTGTAGCTGTTTTAGGAATCTGACTTTGTCCCACCTGATTCCTCTATGGTCTTTAATTATGCTTAGACAATGAAAATTCCAAGGTTTATTTCAAAAACAATTTCTATATTCTGTGGTTTTACTCTAGGAGTCAAATGTCCAGGTAGTTAGTTTAAATTACAATACCTGCTGGACTAGGCATGATGGGCGTTCCTGGTGGCCCTCCACCTCCTGGAGGACCCTAAATAATTACACAAAATTTCAGTAAAAATAAAGCATTTCATTAAACAACATAAGAAAAAGCAGAAAAAGGTTATACTTATCTCTATATTAATCCAATTTTAAAATACAAAACAAATATATTTATTCTGTAATTTATTTTCTTTGATTCACAATCAACTCAATATTATGCAAAACATAATTTAGCTTAACTATGTTGAGACTATTTTGACAAGTTTCCAAAAACAATAAGCCTGTAACACTGGTTTATTATTCATGACTTAATCACATCACCTATAATGAGGTTAAGAAGAAACCACTTAATAGGGCTTTTACAAACCAACAAAATAGGAATAATTCCCATGTACTTTAATTGTTTGCTGTTGTAATTTTCTTACATTCTGTGTCACTGGCTTTTACTAAAACTACAAAGTCATTTGCATAGAGATTCTCTAAGAGATACCCATTTAGAGATCGCATTGCAGATCCACTAATGCTGCTTCTTTTCTCTGCCAGTTTCGCTGCAACACTGAGAGGCAATACACTAGCTGTCACTTCAGTGGGAAATGAGACACGACCCCACTGCTGCGATGGAGGCTGCAACTCCATTGACCAGACAGGAGCGAATCTGCCCTCAGCTCTGACAACTAAACGTATAGGCTAGGCAACAAGGCTCAGGATTCTTCTGGTACCCTATGTGTAATGGTCAAATTAATCTCAAGTGGGTTAAATCTTTACTTTATTCTGACTGTGTACATACAATCGACCAATTATTTCAAATAATATATGCGTTTCCCACTAAGTAAACAACTAAAGTTTCTTTTAAAATAAGTGTAATTTCATAAAAAATTATCAGGCTTATTAAGTGACTTTAAGAATTTTATTCTAATTTATTTATTTTGTTGCATACAGATTGTGGCAAGAATTGGACTTCTTTGGCTGGAATGGCTCTGAGGAACATTGAGCACTAAGACCACAGGTCCAGAGGGCAGCATGTGCTTTTCCTTATGTTAATACAATAATGTTTCTGTAGGGGTCAAAATGCTCATTGATTTTCTCCTTGTGTACTCGTATTTACTGCACTCTAGTTGCTTATAACATCTGCAAATTACTTTAAAAAGGCTTCCAATTTTACCATTTTATCCTTGGTTCTCTGTTAATATTTTCTTCTAAATTTTATTAAAAAATTAGTCCTTATGGTGGTCTTTGGATAAAATAGGCGATAGCTAAAGAGTTGTGATTTTAAAAGAGGTGGTCCAAATGGATTCGTGTCTACATGAATACTGAGAAATGTTAATGTGTACTAGATTGTAACAAGGAAATCGTGTTTTTTTTTTTTGTCAATTTCTAGGAATAGAAAAAAACCCTAAAAGATCTTTTCAGATTATTACTCGATTCTGTAGTCTGATCTACTTTGTGGTTGGGATAGTTTTGTTGTTGTTGTTGTTGTTTTCTTAGTCTTTATGTTTGGTGAGTGGGTCTGGGGAGGGGGTGTGTACATTATTCTCATGGAGAACTGTGAATTCAAGCATATCACTGTATAACTGGGAATGGCTCTCTTCATGACTGGGTAGAGAGCATTGTAGTGGCTCCCAGAAACATATGCTGAAGTAAAACAGAGTACTCAAGGCACTTCTATCCAGACTGATAACTGTTTCACTAATGAACATCAACATATGTACTGAGGTTGGCAGATGAAACAGCTCAAGATGCTCACTTCTTGGTCAATACACAGGGGCTCTTCTTAACATCTGGGCAACAATTTCATTGCTCAAATAAAATGTAACATCAATTCTTATGAGCAAGCAAACCCAAATGTACTTACTACGTAATTCCCAGGAGACGCTGAGGAGTACGGTATCTGGAACATGAGCAGGACAGAAACAAACATTTTGATTCATGTGACTACATGGGATTGAATTAAATAGGTGGACTTCTTTCATCAAGTTTGAAATGCATCACAAAGTAAAATAAAACATAAAGGAATTTACATCTCTTTAAGTGCCAAAAATCCAAACAATTGTAATATTATATTGAACTCACAAGAAAATGTAGATTTCACAAGAGGAATTTACAACTATAGCTTCAAATTAGATTGACTTAGGTCAGTTGTATTCACTGTATGTACTAATGAGACAGTCTATAAACAGAAAGATGTGTACTTGAACGACTAAAACCAAGAAACCAGAAGATTTCAGATCAGTATCCTACAGTATCCTATACAGATAAAACTTTTAGTGTATGTAAACTGTAAAGACATTTGCTGCTACTTTCATTCCCCACATGTCAATTCTCACACTCCCTGCTTAGTTAGCATTAAAACAATGTAATATATTCAAATAAATTTGCTAACTGTGATGTTCAAAGGCTCATAATCTGTGAAGACCAGATCTTAACAATGGATCCCCTTTCTGTTCAAATGAAGTCCTTCCTGAAGAGGTCATTTTCCAGACATGAGGACGAACTAATTCACAGTGCTAGTGAAGGAAGTGAACAATTAAAAACATACTTGAAAATAAACACCTAAGTGTGGGTGTTAATAGGAGTAGTTAAACATTTTCTTTTTCAATAAGCCCACTAGCTCAACTGCACGATACAGCCCATATGCTTTATTCTTCAAAAAGACAGTAATTTGTCTCCCTAGAATGAGCTGGTCAAGGCCAGAATAAGATCTGAGTGGCAAAAATGCTGATTCCTTTCCCTAATGGCCCCAAACCTGCCATAACAACACAGTAATATGAAGTCACAAATAAGGAAGTCTATAAAACCTCAATTTCCCCTTTAAAATACTTGATTTTTGGAACTATTTAATAGTAGGCTCTTTGAAAAGGCTTTCTCTTCACTGTTTGGTGTCCTTGTTTCTGTAAGCACAGAGCATAGGTCACCAAAGCCTCTACTTTGGTGTGTTTGTGGGGGTTGATTGAGCCCAAGAGCCCACCGCCTCTGTAGCGCTCAGACCCTAATGAAGGCGATTACTTCCCCTGAATACTAAGCTCTCTCACAGCACAGAACCTGGCCTCCATTTGGTAAATGCATGACTGCTCTCTTGTGCTCTTCTCAGTTCATGATCTATTATCCAGTTTTTTTAATGCACTGCTTTAAATTGATACATTTGCGCTCCCCCCCAACTGCCTGCATTCTATTGGTTCCCAGAATGCATTTCATCGCCCTGTCTTTAGCACCTGGGCAGTGGTTTCTTACTCTGATATTGCCTATCATGACAGTCTCTCATCACCTTTTATCCCTTTGTTATTCACAACATGCTATTTCTCTCCTTTCTGAGAGTTCAGAAGCTCTGTACTAAGATCTGGACAATTCTCTTGCCTGAAATCTTACTACTTGTGCTTACAAAAGTTACCCTGTGTTCCTGTCAGATTAATTTTTATTACACTTTAGTGTTTTCTCAGTCAATTAGTCTTGATTCGTTTATAACTAAATTACCTCTGCATCTTCCTATACTCTGTAGCTTATCTATCTCTCAAATATCTTACATTCATTCTCCCAAAACCTAGTAAGCTGGTTCCTATTTCTCTGGTCATCTGCTAGTTAGCCTCTCTGTTTTACAAGAAATTTCATGAAGGCACAAAGCAAGAATGAGATCACAAATACAATCATACTCTATAACATGTTAATTACATGTTACATGCTCTGCCCTAATATCTTTCCATTTTTTGGTTCAGCCTTTGCAGAAGCCCTGACATGTTAAGTTATGAGCATGTAAATCTAGTCAACTTTAGGAAGAAGAAAAATTCTTGGTCTGTAGTATTTACCCAGACCATATTCTCATTTGGTACATATTCTCATTTGTCAGATTTCAACTTACTAAAGGGGTTTAACACACAGTTCATGAACTTTCTGAATGAAAAACCAATTCTGAAATTGGGACTTCTTTTCACTCCTGTGAACTGGCTGTCAGAGCAATTATGTCATCCTTAGTAGATACTTTGCCCTTCTGCCATACATTAAACCATCATTTTCAGGTCAGATTTAAAATTACACCTGTTATGCCCGAGAGAAAAAGCAAACAAAGAGTCTTCTGTTCGTTTCTAAGGACAACACCTACAGCTTCCCTATCCACCCAGGTCTTCATGATTCCTTCCCATGGTGAAATAGAACTATCACTTTTAAATACTTTACAAACTGCTATCTCATCTACTCCTTCAATTTATTTCCATCTCTGTCTGGACAAGCTCTTCTATTTTCACTCATACAAACCATTTCTATATTATATTCTTCAGTTTTCTGATTATAATTCAGCATTTGGGCTCCTACCCCTGGCACATAACTGAACCCACACTCTTGAAAGCTGCCAGTAGGATGTGACAGCATAGTGTGAAAGGCATATATTGCATCCAAAGAGACAGAAATACTATGAGTATAGTGGGTTTGTTTCTGAGCTGGAAATCCGGGACACATAGAAAGAAGGTGTAACTTGAGGAAAGGTGAGAAAAACTGAAGGACAGACAAGAAATGTGAGATTGCACAGTAGTTTAGAGAATGTTATATAATTTTTCAATGGCTGCCACACTGTAGGACTTAGAGGTTGTGTAGTAAATGATAAGGCCGCATGCTTGGACCAGGAATGAATGCTTTGAAAACTAAAGGTTTTATAGAACTGTTCAGATTCATGCCTTAGTAAGGTGACTCTACAGGGACCATGGCAAGGGGATTTAAGTAGACTGCTGCAAGATTTCAGAGAAGAGGTGGCAGAGGGAGTTGCGGGTAATGCTGACTACAATAAATAGGACCAGAGAATTGAGAATCACTTCACAAATTATTTGAAAGGACGCAATGACAAATGTTGTTATAATTCCAGTTTTAGAAGATCCAGTGAATTCCATGGGCTCCTGTATGAATGTGGTGTTCTTATATACAATCAGAAACACACACATACACACACACACACACACACACACACACACACACTATAATGTTTCAAAACATATTAAAATGAAGACACAGTTGAAAATATCGCAAAGCCAGAGGGTCAGACTCATCTATCTACAAAAAGCTGATGAAGAAAAATAAGAGCCAAATATGGTCCATGCTTAAACTAGAAGGGAATTCTGCGTCTTACACTCATGATTGTGGTGGAATAAATAAGGGCTAAAGCAGTAACTACTGCACTTAAAATGATTGCTAACAATCCAGTTATACCTTTCTCCAGTAGGGGGATCTACAACAATCTTGTAAGTACCGGGGAGTTAGAGTTGGGGAAGCCAACATCATGCATTGTACCAATGGAAACTAGGAACTAGTTTTTAGTGATTTTTTAATTTAAAATGCATTGTATTGCCCTTATAGTTAATCATATTTTTCCTTAAAGAATTTCCCTCCATTAGCCTTTTCATGTCAAATCAGTGAACTGATTAATATAGTGCCATACTAAACATTTGGTATTGTGTCTATTCCTTGTTCTACTAACAACCCCTTTCATATTTCCCCAGTTAACTGTAGTTTCCTTATTTTGACTTGACACAGGTTGTGCAGGCTCAGGAGTAGGCATATGACCTAGGCAGAGCATATTTATCCCATCTGCTTGCTTCATGAAGGAGCACATGACTCAAGACAAGCAAATGTAGGTCAGTTAGAGTTGTTTTCATTTTCTTTCCTTAGCTGGTAAATGGTATTATTTTGTGTTCAACTAGAAGCTGCAAACATAGAATTGGGTGACACACAGCCTTCATGAGTTCTCACAGAACAGAGGTAAGGGGAAAAAGAGGACACATTTTCTGAACTCTTGGAACCCAAATCAGATTTAAATCAGGATTTTCAGAAGAAAGGATATTAAGGATTGGAGAGGGGGCTGGAGGAACAATGAAAAGGTAGGGCAGAGGTTTGAAGGGTGGACAGATAAATCAGCACACACATGTGAGAACAGAGATTCCCATTGATCTTTACAATTATTACGTATTAACCACTATCATGAAAAGTAAATAAAAAGGGAGTTTTCAGAGCTAGTAGGGAAGGAAAGAACATTTTAAAAATATCCATTTGTTGATCAACACAGTGAGGAAAGAAAAGAATCAGATAAGAATTACCAATAGATGCCAAAAATGGCTGCCGAGGAGAAGGAAGAAAATATTTACCAGTTTCAAGTACAGTTCTACATGGATATTTACAGAGGAAAACCAGTAATTTTAGTGTAATAGACATTGTACAAGCGGCAGCTTAGCCAAGCAATTCAAACTAAGGTGACCAGAGACCAGACAGGTCCACAGGAGCCTTCTGCAATGGTGCTCTAAGGAAAACAGGAAGCTCCTCCCACAGCATCCTGGCAGGTGTCAGATAAAAGCAAGCTACAGGATACTCTAGACAATTGGTTTATATCAGCACAACCGCAAGTTAACAGGGACAACCATGAGCTGGAGCGGCTGTTCCAGATGAAAAGCACCAGGTACATGGCTGATGAGTGGCATAAAGATATGTAGACAACTGGAAAAATTCATGTAAGACTTGCAGATTACAAAACAACATTAATCAGGGTTAGTGCTATGATTCTGAGCATTGTTTTGAGTTATGAAAGATGCTATCTTATCTTTAGGAGATACACTGAAATACCTAGGAGTAAAGTCTCAGGAAACTTACACAGAACAGGAAAAACTGCTTAGCGAGTGAACCCTGAAGCAAATGTGGTAAAAACATCAGCACTGGAGAACTGGAGCTAGGCACATGGGATTCTTAGTGCCCTTCTCCCGGGTCTTCTGTATATTTGACATTGCTTCAGAAGAATGTGGAGAAGGCAAATCATATTCAAAAAGGTAAAAACAGAAAGCCCAGTTTAAATGCTGCCCTGAGCAGGAGACACACATTGCACTGATCCCAGCAGAGAGGCATCTGCCATAGTAAACACATACAGAAAGTCCAAGGGACTTGGAATTCAAAATAACACCCATGAGTCATCACTGCAAAATAATCAATTGTGTCTGGAGACAGAATCTTTCTCAGGCCTCTTATGCTGTTTCACAGAAGTCCCTCTCTTCTAGAAGGCCACCCACTGTCTGCAGTTTCTCCTCTCTGCTCTTCACTACCTGTGAGAAGAGTTTCTTCCTATGTACTTAGGACAACATCCTCCTCTTCCTGGTGAATCCCCACACATCCCCACTATTTACTTAATGCACATCGGTTGAGTTGGGGGAGATATGTCTGAATGTGCATAATACACGAACAGAAAGGACCACTTTCAGATTTTACTTGCCAAATTGTACTGGCCAATGCCCATTCCAGACTGATCATGGAGCAGTTTACTGGGCACATTTCCACTCTAGTTTCTAGTATTTCTTGGGATCTAAGATGATTTTGAGCCCCTTATCTGACTAGTACACCCAAGGCATTTAGATGAACTCTGAAGACATGGGACTCCAACTGAAATCCAATAGAACATGGGACTTGCTTCTCATCTCTGCCTCCATTAAATATGCTTTTCTTGGACAATATACTACCAGGTACAACATGTCTCTATCACCTCCCCCAGTGCCAGGCATGGTCCTCAGCCTCCAGTTAGACTCTCAGGTACATACCCAAAGTGCCAATGGACATGGAGCATGGATTGTTGTCTGCCTGCAGTGGGTGGCTGTGTGGACACCAAGCTTAAGACGGAATACGGGCTTCACTTTTCTGTCTAGTTTCACCAATCATGGAGGTAACAGGGATTTCTAGACTCTGGTACTAGGAAGACTGTCAGAGATCTCAGTGTCACCTAGACATAATAGTACATTTAAATAGTACAAAAGAAATGTATTCGGGCTGCAAGTCAGATGCAATTTCAAAGTGAAACCCTGAGTAAACTAAGGCAAAGAGCAAGAAGCACAGAAAAGGAAAAGTCTCCTGAGGCATAGTGGCAACTGAAAGCCCTGGGAAGAAGTCATTCTCATTATAATGTAATTTGGCAAAATAATAGTTTACAAAGACTTGCTGGACATCACCGAAGGCCCTTGTGGAAGCAACATCTTTCTCTTTACCTGAAACAATTAGTAAATAGTATGACTACTAACACTGAAAGAAAATAGGATAAAACAAAATTAATATTTTCTCTTAGACATGGATGACTGAATTGAGTGGGAGGTGATTTGGCCTCTGCGTTAGAACATCATTGGATCCACGACCATGGCTCCCCACCTCACAACCTTACTTTTCATTTCTTTGCAGTTTTAAATTTATCTTAAATATTAGCCACCTTTCCGACTTATTTAGCATTCGGGAAATCGCCAGTGATTAAAAGAACCTGTGTACAGCCAGCAAGACACACCCCTTCTTGGTTAGTGTTCATGAGCTTCATTCATGGAGCTTAGTCTGCCTAGCCCTCACTCCCCCTTGAGCTTGGGTGTCTGTGTAGAGTGTGCATACTACACTAATTCACCTACTGAAATGCTGGTGGTTTCAAAGACGAAGAAAAACATCTCCAGGATTATAAAACTAAAATCACCCAGTTTAAAACCTGATAGCTTAATTTTCAAACTGTGCATATATTTCTGTGACCTCATTAAGAGAAAAAAATGCATTAAACCACTGCCACAAAAATAAAAGAAAAATTTCCAGGATGTCAGGTACATAGATGTGCAGGGATGGCAATTTAGCTAATAGGCACTAGGCAAATGTGCACCTGGTAGGTTTGATAAACACAACACACAATCATAGTAATTCAGTTTCCTCTAATTGAGACTCATCTTATCTGGCAACTTGATGATTCTGTAGCTACTACAGAAGATCAAACCTTATGATTAGTATAGATTGATATGCACACTGTTGTATTATTCACTGTTTCTATCTTTACTTTTGAAAATCTATTAACTGACACAGAACACATGTTTACATAATGAAATGAATAAGTAAAATTTCAAAAATTAGATACATTTTAAAAGAATATAAACAAAAACTTTTGAGCAACTTCTTTAAAAGCTTAACACAACTGTGTTAAGTTCTTATGAAGCTCTCAAAAGCCATAGTTGTTTCACTGCTAAATGTTACAAAGTGCAAAATATATATACTCACTGAATTGGCATTTGTTGGGTTTGGCCAAGGTCTACCACCACCTGGACCCCTACAAAATGATATGACAGATTAAATTTCAACGTGTGCCTCAATGGTTCCACAGCAAGTAAAGAACAAGGCACAAAACATTAATGTTTGTAATTCAGTTACTAGGCATGGTTCTGCTTAAGCACAAAAATCACTTTATATGGAAAAAATACCATGAAATAGTTTAATGTATAGCTAGGTTAATATTATTTATTTTTATAAACAAGAAATAGAAATCACCCATAGAAGTCTATATATCCTCTTAAATGATTTTTATCAGTTTTAGAATAAAAGGGATCAAATACAGATAAATATAATCCAATACATCAGTATGAGTCACCTTTGTATCATTCAAAATGAAATGATTTGTAAATAGCTACATAAATGATTACTGTCAAATTACAAATAAGTACTATCTAACTAGCCTCCTTAAAATTATATTAAAATAGATTATATATTAATGTATCGTCTAATGCTAAAAGATGACTTAGTCACCATTGGGAAGCACTGAGTCTGGTGTTAGTCTCATTGCCAATACCATTTATTGTAAGGTTGCCACTGAGCTACTAAGTATCAGCACTGCTGTTTGCCAGAAAAGAACGTAGCCTTTAAATGGGCATGTGAATTACATATAAAAATTCATATTTTCATAATTTTAGTTGAAGAAAGTAGAGAGAACAAGTCTTGAAATGAAGGGAGATAATCTATGCCAATATATTACTTCATTTTAGAATTCAAGAAAATGTTTTATGTTTCATACCCTGTAAACAAAATTAATGTCCAGTTAATTAAATCAAAGTCATATACTTGGCCTGTGGTGTTAATCACATTTGAATAAATACTATTTTATGAAAAGCAGACTATTTTCAATTTTCTCCTATTAGTTATTGAATATTTTCTTTCTACTCACTAAGGCAGTGAAATTTTATAATTTAAAAAAGTCCCCTGAATCTATAAATCTTAAAGTAATAAAACATTAAATAAAGACACCATCCTAGTTACCTAGCAACCTTTTCTTGGAATCCTTACAACTATTTTAGTTTTAGTTTGGAATTCATAGTGTTTAAACAGAGGGAAATGACAAAATCCCACCTTAGGCTCTGTGCCCTAAGGCGAATGCTCCCTGTGAGGTGATATTAATGACAATGGTGATGACATTTTTACAACTGATTACTGAACACTTTTCAAAGATGATTTTATGTATAGGATTCAGTGTCAAGATAACTTTAATTCTTCCAAAACATATGTCATTAATAAATGCTTCCAAGACATTATAGCAATTAAGCTACCAATAATTTCTGAATTTACTGTATTTTCCAAAACATGGGTAAAGTATAGGACTTAGAAATGTGGGCTGTAATGTAATGACAGCTTTACATTTCAAATTTCTGAGCTTTAGATTCAATGGCATCAAAAATTCTTTTAACTTTAGGAATGCTGAGGGTAAACAGGCCCATTTACTTTCTACACTTAGGGTATGTGTGTACCAGTGTCACAGACTCATAGAAAGCATCTTTCTGGCCCACCGAAGACGTCTTACATGCCGGGGGAAAATTATCACAGGCAGCCCTGCAGGCCGGGGACACACGTCGCTGATGTGCAAGGACCTGGTTTCACCACGAGCAGCAACCCAAAACTGCTCTTCTAAGCCTGAACTGTGTAACAACACAGGGCCAAGTGGTGCCAGTCCTGTACCCACCAGCCCTCCCTGACCCGAGACTTCTCTGGTCAGTTCCGCCCAAGCCCTCCAGCTTAACGCAACAGGGTAAGCAACACTCTTCAGGCCAATAAAACGCAGTCACAATCCAGTCAGGCCTTATGTCTTTGTGCAAGATTGTATTAAATGTCTGTACAGGACAACAAGACTCTGTTATGGTGCAGACACTGGCTGGGTATGGCAGGTGGCTCTGGCTTCCCACCCTTCTGCTCTGAGATGGGTTCCACGGTGTTCACATGATCAGGCAGAGGCTTTTTGGGGCCGATCTTACCACTTGGGTCCCAGGGCAGCATGATTTTCACTTTGATGCCCAGCACACCCTGTCTGAGGAGTACATGGCGCACGGCAGTAGCAACACAGCATTTAACATAAAAGGATGTAAAACAGGATGCATGGTGATGAACTAAAACATTTGAGTAGGAAGATTAGCTACTAGTTTGTCTGATGCTAAATATAATGCAGTGAAGAAGCCGGAAAATATTTGTCCTGAAACAACCTAAAATAGTCAAGTCATGGGAAAGTTTAAATACTATGATGCTATATAGTTAACAATCGCATAACTTTGAATATGATCCATTAAGAACTGCATGAATTGGGCTCAGTGGGTAAAGATACTTGCTGCCTGGCCCCTATCCTGAGCTCTGTCCCCAGGACCCATGTGGGGAAGGTGAGAACAACTTCCTCAAAGTTGTCCTCTGATCTCCACACACATGCTGTGGCATGTACATCCCTGACACAAAGTCAATGCAATTTTCTTTAAAGAGCTGGATGAATAAGATAAATAAAATAAAATACTTAACTTAGAATTTGTCTACTATTAAATTAGAAGCTAAATCAAATGTCAGAACTTTTTATTTACTAACATAAATTCAATGATAAACTTATTATAAGTAACATCATTTCTATTGTTTATACTGATCTAGTTCCAGAATTCTGTATTTCATGTTAACTTCACTTTAACACTATAGGAAATTGCATATGAACTCATATAAATACTCTAAAAATGTTCCACAAATTGTGCTGAATCCAACACCTAGTGGTTCCAAGGAACAACTAAGTTAGCTCAATAATGTCCTCTTCTGCTGGAGCCACTAGGATTATCAAGGGGTTGACCTGACCACTGCTTCACAAGCAGCATTCTTTTATAAACATTAGGAGATGAGCTTTGTGTAGAAGAAAATGTGAAAGATGTATGCATCTTGGTAAGCGTCTATTTCGATGGACTGTTGGAATCATGACTACCAAGGAGATAATTCTCCTCTGGAATTCACTCATTTAAATAGCCCCAGTGAGAGTCTTTCAGGACACCCTGGGATCTTTGCTACACATGCTATACAGCAAATGATCTTTGCTATAAATGGCTAGCTACAAGGCTGAAGGAGCAGTGCTTCAGGGCAGGGTCTGACACCCATGGAAACCTGCTACTGATGTTCCTTTCAAAAACTAGCTGTAATTCACAAGAAAATATTTACATTTTGGCCACAGTTTGTAAATTTCACTTTATATCACTTAATATTGGGTATTTCCTTCTTTTAAAAATGTTGAAAGCCTACTTTAAATGTTTTAAACACAGAAATATCTGTCACGTTCCCACCACCCTAAGCATTTTTTCCAGGTGACCAATTTTTATTTATGAACTTCAGTTAACAAATTTTTTTGTTGTGAATGTTTAATTCTGCAATTAAAAGCTATGGTAGCTGATTAAAACACAGCTTTTAAATCCTGGGGGAGTCAGGGCTGGCTCTTTTCAGTGTTGTTACATTTTCATGGCAAATGAGAAGGAATGACAAGGAACATTCTCCAATTCTCTGACAAGCCTGTCCTTGCTTCCATTTAAAAATGGAGCTTGGGCGAACGCCATCTCTTATTTTTCAAATTTTCAGTAGCCTTACAGGGTTTTCTTTTTATTTTAAAATGCCATGAGGAAATCACAGGTGCCATTAAAAAAATCTTCGGAGGGGGTGTCACACATTTGTTTTAAAGATTATAAATAATGAATTTTAATTCAATTTATTTTAAAAGTGTGATGAAGATATCATGTATTTCTTCTGTTTTAGTTCAACTTTGATTTGCTAGGCATAACAGCAATGCAATGATTATCCTCTTTGACTAGAACTTGATTAATTGGAAAGTTCTGTGCCACAGGAAAGTATTTAGTATGTCTAAATATATATGTATTTTTCATTGTCTCTGAGAGAATCCTAATTCTCTAATAAAAATGAAAAGAATTATAAGAGACTCTAAAATAAAAGAGAAGTAACAAGAAATAGGAATAAGCTTATAAGACTTCATTTTCTTTAAGACCTAGACTTCGGGGCTGGAGAGATGGCTCAGAGGTTAAGAGCACTGCCTGCTCTTCCAGAGGACCTGAGTTCAATTCCCAGCAACCACATGGTGGCTCACAACCATCCTTAATGGGATCTCGTGCCCTCTTCTAGTGTCCAAGCATAGAACACTATATGCAGACATAATAAAATTAAAAAAAAACTAGACTTCATATCAATAGTAGAATCTTACATAAGAGAAAATATTTCAAACTAGCTAAGAATACTTAAGAAATCTAAATATCTAAAATTAAGAGTGCTCATATGTAAATGCCTAATAACATATATTAGAATGAACTAGATAATTTTAAGTAATTGAGTCTGTCAAGTCATATGAAAATAAAATTTTCTATGTACCAGCAAAATAAGGTTTATCTCAAGTTGGCCCTGTGTCTAATTGTAATGCAAAGTACTATACCAAATGATATTTGATATGTTCTTATCACTTGCAACTTGACTGACCATAATTTTAAGTTTACTAAAATATGCTGACTTTTAAAGTGAGAGTCTAAGTTAAATTCCATGTATTTTTCCAGCCTACTGTTAAGAGCTCCAGCTTTTGACATAAGTAAAAATATCATTCAATCCTCTGGAGCAATCACTAATAAAGGCGAGCCTGGGAGGAGTTCAAGAGCCAGACTCCATGTCTATCCATTTTTATTTCAAAAGCAAAAAAAGATGTTATAGGAAAATTTGACCTACTTTTCTCCCTGTTCTGTTAGTTTTCAGTCTGGCTGGTATCTACTTATTAACCTATTTTCAGTTTTAGTAAAAATTGCATCCTATGAAAATGGTTTCAGAAGCTTAAAAAGCCCTGCATACATCAAAAGAGCTTATTTCACAGTGTGTCTTCATGCCACTGGACGACAGTAGAGTTGGCTCATTTAATACGCAAGGAGCTAAAAACAGGCCAATGAGAAGTGAAGTTGAGGAGCCTTACATGCCTACGTGGAGCACGTTAATAGTCTCTGATGAACTTCCTTTAGGCTCCATCATGTTGGTGACCCTCTGGTGAATTCATAAAAGTTATTTGCAAGATCTAGTGTATACAGGCCTTCAAGGGAAGGTCAGAGAATGCAAAATAAATAAAAGTTCCTTAGCAAATTGCATTGCAATGGAAACAAACTACTCTTTGGACTGGAAAGGTCATTCCAATAAAACAAACATCTTCAGTTTATTCCCCACCCAGTTACATCCTGAGTTTTCAAAGAGAACCAGCCCTGTACTATGAATAGTTCTTTAATAGAGGACATCACCACGGAGAAATCTTTTGTGTTCAAATAGTCCCAATGATGCAAATGTAGACATATGTTTATGAGACTTACTAACTGTACTCTCAGCTAACTTTTTAACACGAATAAGAACTCTCAGTTATCAACTTCTTAGAGTTAGTACATGGTTCTGGTATCTGAATCTCTTCATAGTGTTATATAGAATCTATACACAAGTACTAAAAAGCAATAGGCTGAAAGTTGTGATTTATGTTACCTAAAATGCAAAAAGAATCTTAAAGTTGCATAGGAAGAAGAAAAACATGATAGTAAGTCATGAAAATGAAGCAAAAATTGCACTCATGTTTAGTTCATTTTCACACAGCAAAGACACTGGGTACTTAAAATGCTTTACAAATTGGTGTAGTTTCATAAGACAGAAAACAGAACTTCACTAAACAGAGTAATAAGCATTTTGCTTACATGTTCATTGCAGGCATTCCGGGGCCACCTAAAGCATTCAGTGGGGGTCTCATTGCACCTCCATAGTTCTGTAATGATAACCAAGGGTCAGACTACCACAAAACAAAAAAACAAAACCAAAGAGGAGGGGGGAAAGAAAGGAGAGCAGGTTAATGATTTCCCTACATAACTCCTGACTGGATAAGGCCTGTGTAACTCATTCTCTGAAGGGTCCTCTCTTGTATTTTTGCTTCTATTTTAGCACAACTACTTTGGTTCATGCCATTTAAAAACTCTATGAATATGGACAATCATTGGATCACGTTAAATGATCAAGATAGGATCAAAATTATAACAGTCATCATATCGTTATTAATTATCTAATATCTATACATTAGTCACTTTTTCAAATAAACGTAAGTCCAAAATTATGTTTTTAGATAAATTACTAATTCAACAAGTTTGAAATTATTAGATAAGCACAATTATAAGACGTCTGAAAAGAAAACAGGTAAACCCAACCCAAGAATGCTGACTATAAGGCTCTATTCACAGAGAAAAATATCCAACATGGACATGCACTATTATAACACCCAAACTAAAGCATACTGAAAATATGCATGCATGAATTATGTGACCCAATAACCCTCAGACAATCCCTACTGTGTGCATTAAAGGAGGTGAAAATCAGTTTAATACTTTAGTATTCATATCATATTAGTTTACGAGTTGACAATACGGGTCAAATGTTACTTTCTGATTATTATGTTAATATGTTTGACACAGTCATGACTTTCACAGTTGGTTTTCTGATGCTAATCTCCTTCCTCTCTTGAGTGTTGTATTCTAGCCATGTTGCTGGCTCCTTGGATTTGCTCACTCTTTAAATGCTATGTTTCCTCATGTTTTAGGTACAGTATCATTTTCAAAAAAAATACATTCATGGGCAATCTTACCTGCTACAACCTGTTCAAACACAAACTGCTTACACATTAGGACTTTGAATCTATTTTATCACGTGTCTCTAAGTTCCTGAGTTATGCTGAACCTCACAGTGGTAGGTTCTGCCTGGCTGCTGTCTTAAGCTCAGCACAAAGAAATAAGCATCACCTGCGTGTGTCTAAGGTCTTCACCCTTCCATTTCCTTTAGTACTGTGGCATGACCTGCCACATAACAGGCCACACTAAGAATTTCTAGAAGTTCCTGGATGTCCTTTTTTTAAAAAAATTTCCTATATAGTTAACCATCAGAGTCTGTTGGTTACAGCAGTGAAAGACCCTGAACAGTGTTCTACCGCCTAATGTGAAGACTACTGCACTATCTCAGTTGGTTTCTGTTTGACTCTTTTTCCCAATTTATACTGCATATTTCCTGGAGCAATTTTTTTCCTAAATCACAGTATTACCCATACCACTTAAAAGATATAATGACTCAGATTACCTGTCAAATAAGCCTAAATTTCTGAATATGTCCCCATAAGGTTAATCAAAGCCAGCCCCAGGCTGTGTTTTCTGTCTTCATTTCCTACATTGTTCAACTTTTCCACGTTATACTTCTAGCCTACTGGATTATTCCAAATCTAAGACACTACACTTTCATAATCACGCTAACTCATCCTATGGGAACACTTGGGAGGAGGTGTTAAGAGGACAAGGAAGTGAATCAATGGGAAAGGTCTGTTAACTCTAGACAGAATGACAACACTTGATAAATGAAGTCACCCAGCCACCTGCTACTCTTACTGTTGATTTGCTTTTACTTTAAGGAAATATTATTTACACCCAGGTTTGTGAGCTGTAGGAGAATCATTCTAACCACACTAGTGTGTTAAGCTTTGGGTCATGTACGACAGTAGTAGGAGTAGTAATTAGCAAGGATTTCAGAGCCCAAAGTCATAGAAATGAAAAATATACATGGTAAAGTAAGGCAGAGATTCTTCACCAGGAAATCTAGCCATCTTTCTTCTTAGTTGTGAGTTTTAGAAACTCTAGTATTTCATGAATGTTCCGTAGAACTCTGAGAATAGAAACACATTAGCTTGCATCTCTACTGACATATCATTATGACTTCTGCAACTTGCTGCCTTTGTGAGACACGATCTCTCTCTACATAGTTCAGGCTGACAGTGGGCTTGAGATCCTCTGCCCTCGCTTTTGCAGTTCAGGGATTACAGGTGTCTACCACAGAAGCTACTCTTTTACATGAGCCAACAATCCCCTTAACCTTATTTTTCTTACATGTGTGGCAATAATATTAATTTCCATGCAGACTTTTCATAGGCTAAAATGAAATATGAACTATCAGAGTGCTTAATGAATTAATACATGGCATTTGGTACTCAAACACTGTAGCTGCTAATTCTTTTTCAAGGATGTTAATCAAATGTGCCTGAGCCCTCTTCGCTTCACTTCCCGTGTGTCCTCAACTCTAAAGCATCACTTCTCTGTTCAGGTGATGACTTACCAAGTAATTACATCAGGGTCCATATTTGATCTTTAGGATTTTAGCATTAGACAACTGCCTTTGTAAATGCAGCTGCATTTCCTGCTCAATAGTATGCTCGTTGAAGACAGAAATCCTATTTTATTAATCTTATACTCAATGGTCAAGTAAGATCTCTGATACACAGTAGGCCTTCAATAAATGATAAGCTAATTAAACTGAATTTTCATAGGAAGTGAGGGGTTATCTAATATAATACATGATTTACAGATAAAACTATTTTCATTTTGTGAATAATATTCCAAAACACAAAGAAATCAGGAAGAAAAGAGGAAATAAGAAAAGGGCTTTCCATGTAGTTCAACAAAGGCAGAATGGAATGAGCTCACATAGAATCTTGGAATTTTAGAGCTGGTAGCCATTGAACTGGTTTAATCTCTCTTCCAATTAATGCTCCCCACAAACTTTAAAAAGTCTGCTAGGAAACTTTAAAATGTCTTCCCTTGAGTGAACTGTTTAATTATTAGAAAGCTTTATCCTATAGTAAACTGAAGTCTACAATCTAAGCTGTATTTAAATATATGGATCAGTTTACTCTTTACATGTGAGTATACATTCTCATTTTACATTCATCTACCCAAACTATCTGATTTTTAAATGTTCCTTGTCTGTAGCTTATTTACTCTTCAACAGTCTACAGAAAATTGAAATAGCTGTGTATTTTAAGAGACTAGTTCCATGACTCCTATGGAACTTGCTGTTTTTAAGAACACAGGTTTCCTAAGTGATACAGAAGCAAAGAGAAAACAATTTCAAATACAGTATCAGAAGAGATTTTTTCCCCTTTGGTGAATAATTTTGCTTTTCTGCTGCAATTTAAAATATCATTTGTGATTGCTGTCCTTAGATTAAAAACATATTATAAATATGCCATGCTTTGGGTAAGCGTTTTCACCCATATAATGCACATTAACTGCATGGTCACTCTGTCCGGTGTGTACTTGCCCAGCTCACAGTGCTCAAGCAACATTAGCTAAGTGTCTTTCTTTGCTTCAGACTTAAGTGGTTGCCAGAAACGACTTTCTCACTTTATCACACATACCTTGAGGTCAAAAACCACAGAAGTGGTATTTATGGAAAAATTAGACTGGTTGGTGGCACAGGCCTTTAATCCTAGCACTCTGGGGATTCAGAGGCAGGTGGATTTTTGTGAGTTCAAGGTCAGTCTGGTCTACAGAATGATTTCCAAGCCAGCTAGGGTCACAACCTTGTCTCAAGCAAAACAAACCTGTATGTATATTTTGTCTGTGCATAAAACTACAAACACCATTTCAGAGCCTGTTCCTATGATACAGGTATAAAGAGATAGGGCAGTTACCCTTGGGTGGCAGCTGCATTGTAAAATGTCTATTGTAGGAATTGTTTTTCATTATCTTTCAGGAAATGAAGCTTACCTTTTTTGATGCACACATTTCACTTGAAAGGCAGTATGTTGTGACTATGTAATGAAATTACTGCCATTCCAAATGATTTTACTTCAACTTTCCTATCCCATTCATGAGCACAGCTCTTGCTTTTGTTTAAATGCAAAGTATTTATAATTAATTTTCATTAATCCTTTTTTGTGTGGTATAACTTTTAAGGTTATTGGTGGTGTTTCTGGTTTCTGAGGTAAATTTATACCAAGGTACTTTATTTCCTTCATACTAATAAAAGTAGATATAAAACATACTACTAGTAGAAATAGAAAAAATAAACTGCTCTCTGACTTTGCAAAGGAAGTATTCACACTAACATAATAAACAGTGACTAAAAGTCATCAGTAGACATTATTAGCCAGAAGTAAGTTTTTATCATCTTTTGTAACCTTTTATAAAATATACAGCTATTGATAACATAAAGCATAGAGCCTAGTGTGCTTTTACTTTCAGAATTTTAAAGTGAGATTCATGTGTTCAGCGCCATCAGCCCGAGGTCTGTCAGTATTCCAGTGCATATGCTAACACCTATGAAGGCGGCAGCCCAGTGGCTCACTCTCAGGCTGGTTACTTACCTGTGGTCCTAAGGGCACCATTCCTCTTGGAGGAGTCATTCTCTGCATTGGTCCACCCATATTTGGATGTCCTAGAGGAAGTATGAAGAGATTAGTAATGGAGCAGCTGTAAGCACTAAGCTAGAGACCAGCTCTCTCCAAGGAAGGACTAGGTTACTGGGACTGTGAAACTAATGAAGTCCCTGTGACTTCACGCTCTTTCCATCTACCATCACTAAGTATCTGAAAAAGGCAGAGGAATAAATGTATAATCACTTAACTTCCTCTGTGTCTGAAGTCATATGCTAGATCTCAGACATCTTAATATTCTGTCTCTTATGTCAGCACGTCTAACCTGCTATTGTACATAATTAAGAATTAGCTACAAATATAAACTAATTAGTCATGTTGCTGTGGGGTAAAGTTGTGGAATATTTATGCCAATGAAGTTCTTCTGAAAGAATTTCCTCACGAGTTAAGCATGGCAGATTCACCTCTACTTTACCTTGTTGTCGTGTTGGGTCCATTCCACTGGGGAGTAATGGCTGACTTCCTGGGACACCTCCAAGTGCCTAGCAATTTGGTAAACAAAATTGAAAAGCAATATTGTAAATATTTAGAAAACACGTGCTTTAGACATTTCCCTTTAAAGTTTCTACAACTACATAATGCATTTGAATGTCTCTCAAGATCTTTCCATTTTTCATTCATTTTATAAACTTCATCCTTGTACATCTTTAATGCGAGATTTTGGTTGTAAAAGAAATTATGTTTTGGGTCAGGCAGTGGTGGCACACACCTTTAATAACAGCAGTGTGAAGTAGAGGCAGGTGAATCTGAGTTTGAGGCCAGCCTGGTCTACAGAAAGAGTTTGAGGACAGCCAGGGCTACATAGAGAAACTCTGTCTTGAAAAAAAACAAATTTTGCTTTATCTAATCTTGTACATAAATATTTTGGAGATAAATCTATAACAAACCATTCCATTTCTTTCTTAATAATGTTAATGGTATCTTCAAAATGTAATTTAATAGGGATACTGAAATACCTTTCTATAAAGACACTCTAACACTGGAAAATCTTATCAAATTAAATATTAAAATATTTTTAAAAGTTGGTAAGCCTCCTTAACTGTTATCAGGGCATGTAGCACAGAGCTGTAGTTTCTTTCATTTTTAAAAAATTCCTGGATACTGTTGTTTGTAAGTACACCCAATATCACTTACTCAGTATAAACATTGTAAGGCTTTTACCAACCCACTTAAAAATTACTTATTACATTTTTGAGAATATAACTACATAATTTTCCCCTCCCTTTCCTCCCTCCAAATCCTCCCATGCATCTGTCTTTGCTGTCTTTCAGATCCATGGCCTCTATTTCAACAATTGTTACATACATAAATGTATATATATATATATGTGTGTGTGTGTGTGTGTGTGTGTGTGTGTGTGTGTGTGTGTGTACTTATTCCTAAATGAATAACAGATCCCAAAATACATAAATATGACCTGCTGAGTCTGTTCAGTGTTACTTTCATGTATGATTTCAGAGCTGACCATTTGGAATTGGATAGCCAATTGAGTGCTTTTCTTCTCCCAAGAACCCGGATGCAGTCACTGCTGACCTCCTTTAGATCTTACAGAATTCTTAGGACAAACCTTACAAATGCCTAACTTCATGAACATATGAAGCATTCCTGTATACCCCAACCCAGAGTCCTAAGAAGTCAACATTAACTTTGCCCTACCATCCTCTCCCCAGTCCCCCATCATAAGCTATCTTTGGGATTTCTTGAGAGTAAGGTGCAGATGGAGTGCCTCATCCTCCTAATGTTTCAAGTCAGGAAACATCCCGACACAGCAGCATCACTAGCCACGGAGCTAACATAAGTCTTGTCATTTCATTCTTTTCTGGTGCCAGAACATTATGCAGCATGTGTGGCCTTGAGCTACCATGACTCTTTCTGCTTTTCTAAGTAGAAACAACCCCCGTTTTTCCTATCCATGCCAATCCTTCTCTATCACCCCTCAATTGCTGTATATATAAGCCATATATTTTACATGGTGATTCTGATATTCTTTTCATGACCTGGACTCAAGCTATGTTTTCTTAACATCATAGAGGCTATGATACTCTTCTCTGTGTACCACATCTGAGGGTACAGGATGCTAACTCACCCACTACTGGTGATTGTAAGGTTTATGATTGTGCTGGTACCTTTCATATTTCTATACCATAAAGCTATCAGCCCTATACTCCCTACAACTGGTTATTTTTATCACAGCTATTCTAATATTGTCAACATCCCATTCCTTATACATCTTTGTTAGCTTCACCACTAATCCCTAACCTTTGAAATGATTGTCATATGGAGATACTCTGTGCAAATCATTGCCTCTATGTTTACTGGCTGACATTTAGTGTAAGAAAGCTATATTTACTACTCATGGATCCTATTTCATTCAATGGGTTATAAATCATCAATTATTTATTCTTTTTGTGTATTGTGTGGTATATGTGTATATGTGTTTGCGTGTGGTGCCTGTGTGTGTGTGTGTTTGTACTGCACAGTTGGAGGTTGTTATCATGTGTCTTCAACCGCTCTCTACCTTATTTGTTGAGACAAGGACCTTTGCTGAAGTTAGATTTCCCCAAATCCATGGAACTGGCTTGCCATGAGCCTCACTGATCACCAGCTACCTCTCCTAGTACTGGAATTACAGGTGTATAATGCTATGCCTGTATCTTATGTGGGTGCTGGATTTGAGTTTAGGTTTTGAGTATATTTTACTTTATGGTGTAAGACGTTCTAGGTGTACACATGCTCTTTATTCTGGTCTAGCTCTTGGAGCAGTGTCTTCACAGGATCTTGAGTCTTTTGATAAGCATAACATTTAAGCATCATAGTCCATGCCAATTGCTCTTGTTTCTTGAGTGCAATGCCAAGAAACTTGATGCTTATGGTGACCAATGAGCTTGAAAAAAATCTATGTATGTGAACAATAAATTCATACTCTACACATATACGTAGCAAATTCATTGCATATTATGCATTCAACACTCAAGTTCAAATCTGATACATTAGGATTATTTTTTGCTTCCTATGTAGGTTTGTCATTATTTTATCTAACAGTAGGAAGTGTAACCTTTATTATCTTCAATGTCTTCTCCTATGTAACTAATCAATGTATTTGTTTACCCAATATAACTCATCTTCCAACCACACTCCCAGCTATTTCAGTGTGGCTGCAGTTCTGCCCCAGGACATCCCTGTGTAGATGGAAGACACTGACAGCAACATCAAGAAAAACTATGTGACACAAAAATACTTAAGAGACTGAATGATACAGTTTGAATGAACAGTGGGTAATTAAAGAAACCTGGGGGGAAATAAGAATTCTTACAGTCAAATGATAGTATATATAACAGATCATCCTCTGGGACACAGCCAAGGTAGTCCTAAGAGGAGAGTTCAGAGTTCAGGGCTCATATTACAAAACTAGAGGCATCTCAATTAAACAAGCTAGTGATGTACTCAAAATTCTAGAACAATAAGAAGCCAATCTCAAACCCAGAAAACAGCAAGACATAATAAAAAATTATGACAAAAATTAATGAAATAAAGATTAAAAGAACATGGTTTCTGGCATGCCTTCTGGGCCCTTCCCACAACCAGCTGAGGCCTGGGGACTGCCATTGCGGTTCCCTTCCCAATGGGAGCCAACCCACCCAGAGACTGCCAGCATCTTAGACCCTTTCTCCACCCACAGGACTAGGCAAGCCTGCACCTGTTACTGGCCTGCCTTCCTGTGCCCTGCGCAGAACCAGCTGAGGCCTAGGGACTGTGCACTGTGGATCCCAACCCAACAGGATTCAGCCCACCCTGAGACTGCCAAGGTCCCGGTACTAGGCCTGCCTCCATCCATGGGAAGAGGACAGCCACCAGAGTATTGGACCTGCTGGCACCCACCTGATGGGAATCCTAGTACTGTACCCACAAGAAGAGGAAGAGACTCCTTCTGCACCCACTGTGAGAAGGGACGGGAAGAAGACAATATAAAAACACGCTCAGCAACAGAAAAACCAATATGACACCACCAAAGTCTAGAGGCTACAGCAACAAGACCCGAACATCCCAATGCAGATGAAACAGAAAAGAATGACCTTAATAACGACTTCATAAAAATGATAGAGGCCCTCAAAGAGGATATGAGAAAATCCCTTAAAGAAATGGAAGAAAAAACAAACCAAACAATGCAAGAAATGGGGGAAAAGAGAAAGCAAAAATTACAAGAAACAATTCATACAGTGCAAGGGTTGAAACCAGAAATAAAGACAACTAAAAAAAAAATCACACAGTCCGAGGGAATGCTGGAAATAGAAAAACTAGGCAAACAGTCAGGTACTACAGATGCAAGCATAACCAACATAATACAAGAGATGGAAGAGAGAATCTCAGGCGTTGAAGATACACTAGGAGAAATAGATTCATAAACCAAAGAAAAACTTAAGTCCAACAAATCCCTAACACAAAATATCCAGGAAATATGGGACACCACGAAAAGACCAAAATCTAAGAATAACAGGTATGGAAGAAGGTGAAGAAACCTAAAGAAATACATGCCAATTAAAGTAAAAGCAGTTTAAGAGCATAAAATAGAATGGGCTACTAAATAAGTCTCCTCGCCACATAATCATCAAGACCCCAAACATACAGAATAAAGAAAGAATATTAAAAGCAGGAAAGGAAAAATGTCAAATAGCATACAAAGGCAAACCTATCAGAATTACACCTGACTTATCCATGGAAACTCTGAAAGCCAGAAGGTCCAGGAAAGATATTCAACCAACACTGCCAGCACAGACTACTAAACCCAGCAAAGCTTTCAATCAGTAAAGATGGAGAAAAAAAGATATTCCATGACAAAACCAGATTTAAGCAATACATATCCACTAACCCAGCCCTACAGAAAGTTCTGGAAGGAAAAATCCAACCCAAGGAAGTTAACTACAACCAGAAAAACATAGGCAATAGATAATCCCACTCTATCAACAGCAAAAAGAAAAAAGGGATGGAAATCCACACACAATTCCACCACCACCGCCACCACCACCAATTCCAAAACAAATAGGAATGATCAAACAATGGTCATTAATATCCCTCAATATTAATGGTCTTAACTCTCCCATAAAAAAACCACAGAATAACAGAATGGATTTGAAAACAGAATCCATCCTTCTGCTATACACAAGAAACACCTCATCTTCAAAGATAGACGTTACCTCAGAGTTAAGGGTTGGAAAAAGATTTTCCAATCAAATGGACCCAAGAAACAAGCATGGGTAGCAATCCTAATATCTAAAAATTAGAATTTAAACTAAAATCAACCAAGAGATGAAGGAGGTCATTTCATACTCAACACAGGAGAAATCCACCAAGATGAAGTCTCAATTCTGAACATCTATGACCCAAATACTAAGGCATCCACATTCATAAAAGAAACATTACTAAAACTCAAACTACACACAAAACCTCACACATTTATAATGGGAGACTTCAACTACCCACTCTC